TGCTTTTATTTTAAGGTTGATGACCTTTTTTAATCCAATTTTTGTGTGATATGAGGTACAAATTGACGTTGACTTTTCTCCATAAATATATCCTTGTTCTACCACTTATTTTAAAAGCTATGGAATTATCTTGGCACCTATCAAAAGTCAATAGGCCATGTAAGTGTGAGTCTGTTTCTGGTTTCTAGTCTGTTCACTGGTTCATGTCTATCTTTATCTCAATGTTACACCTCTGCTACTTTAAGTAGCAAAGCTTTATCCAAATAGTACAAGTTCTGTACTTTTTTCGTTTTCAAATTGTTTTGGCTATTCTGGGTCATTTGCATTTACACATAAATTTTATAATCAGTTTGTTTACAAAAATGACTGCAAGAATTTCTAGTTAAACTGCATTATTTATATGCCAATTTAGGGATAATTAACATTTATAAGAGTCTTCCAATTCACAATTGTGGTGTATCTCCATCCAGTTAGCTTTTCTTTCATTTCTTACCAATTGATGTGGTTTTCACTGGACACATTGGATAAATCTTACACAAACTTGGTTGTATTTGTCCCTAATTATTTTCTCTAATTCTACTGTAAATGGTAGCTTTTACACTTCCATTTCCAATTATGTGTTGCTAGCATGTAGAAACAAAAGTGAGTTTTGTATATTGAACTCATACCTTACTAACCTCACTTACTATAGTTTACCTCTTTTTTTGGCTTTTCAACATGTTTGATCGTGTCTTCTGCAAAGAGTTTAATCTTACAATATTTATGCTTTTCCTCTTTCTTGCTTTATTTCTTAGGTTGGATCTTCAGTACAGGATGAAGTAGAAATGGTGACAGGTACCTCTTTGCCTTCCCCAGCTTGGAAGAAAACCAAACCATTATGCATGACGCTAGCTGCAGGTTTCAGCTCCTCTCTGCCAGGTTAAGGAGGCTCCCTCCTAATTCTGGTTTGCTCCTTTTTTTTTTATCATCAATGGATGCTGAACTTCATTACACACGTTCTCTGCATCCACTGGGAGGCCCCTGTTCCCTCACCCCTGTACTGTTAATTCGGTGAATTACATCAATTTTAAAAATTCTGGTAATTGATATTTAAAAATCATTTTAACTTTGGTAAAATACACATGAAGTTATCATTTTAATCATGTTTAAGTGTATCATTCCCTATCGTTAAGTACACTTACTGTCATGCAACCTAGCTCCACAGCTGTTTCATCTGGAGTAACTGAAACTATCCATTAAACAGCTCTCCATTTCCCCCTTCCCCTTTTCATTCATTTTCTTTTACGAAAATTTCAATCTGTGACCAACTGGAAATAAAAAGGCCCTTCACTTCAGAAAACTTTAAAAGACATGTTCTAAATCAGTTGGTTTACTAGAAATAAAAAGCAAGCATTTTAAACATGTGCTTGGCTTGCATATGAAGCTTTAGTCCTCCACACAAAAAAATCAGTGTCTGGGGAGAACAAATACACATCACTAATTTCCTGTCAGTTTCATCACTTCAAACCAGGTAAAATTAAACTGTGTTCTTAAAGCAATTTATCTCACTCAAAGCATAATTTCTTTTTTAAGTACATCCAAGCCTGACCACTGCTTGACTATCAACAAAAGAGTAAGTCATCTTCTCCTGTCTTCTGGGATTCCTCTCTACTCAGTCCTGGCCAAAGCATCTTGGTGTTACTTAGCCAACACGGACAAGCTATTACTATGTTTTTAATTAAAAAAAAAAAAAAAGATAAGACCTGACTAAGAATTTCTAGTTTAGTGATCACTGGCTCACCTTTTAACAAGCACCCATCTTAGCATTCCTTCTGTTATTCTACAATGGTTTGGCTTTGTGGACAAGATTTCATTCATTTTTTTTTAAAGACTAAACTCCATCACTCAGTTTCAGTTTGTGGAGTCAGTTCTTCACAAACTGGCAGTGTTAAGGTGTGAGGGGATGATACGGACATCGGATGTGGACTGCCACGTGTTCATCCAGTCGCGTGTCCCTGGGATGTGAGATTCTTTGGTTGCAGCAATAAAACTTCTAACAGCAAAGAAATATACTGTATAATAGTTTTATTTTTCTCATTTTACTATTTTTACATTTTATGCACAAATATTTTTATCTGAGTAAAAATAGAAAATAACTGTTTTATGTAAAATTACAAAAAAAATAAAAACCACAAAGAAATACATAATTGTTATTATGACAGTATAAGTGTCTTTATTTAAAGAGTAAAAATGTATGCAAAAATCCTCCTCCCTTTTACAAAAAATTGAGAATTTTTTTTCTGGCAGCAAGTGAAATATCACTGAATATCAATATTTTTACACCCTGTAGATGTGAAGACATTAAGTTAGTCACAGGTTGTTTTGCAATTATGAATTTAAAAATATTTTTGTGCTATTTCAAAGATACACTAGTTCCTTTTAAAAGGCAGTAGCATAAAATGATGAATATGTAAAAGAGCAAACCTCGCAAAAAATATCTGGAGGTACAATCCTTTAAAGAAATATCATACTTGAGTTTCACCATTAATCAGAGGATAAAAACAACTACACAGTTTTTCCTAATTAACTGACACAGACTGACACAAAAACGAATGTGATAAGTTGATTCATGTGAGGATCGGCCACACACAGCAATTCTGCTTAGTTTGATTTTCTGGTGCCAACAACAAACTTCCAAACTTTAAGCTAGCTAGATACCCATGAAAGTGGCTCAATGAGAACCTTATGTGGAAAATAAGTTTTAAAACAAAAGTGAACACTTCATTATTCTTATACTTATAAGGTACAAAAGATGACCAAAAATTTTATCTTTCATCCTCTGAATATATTATAAATTCTCCTGTGGAAAATTCATTCATAAAAACATAATGAAGAATGATAGTGTGAATTATATTTTCTTTCATAATCTTTTAATAAGGGAAAAAGACTACCTGACTTTCCGATAACTGAACTTCAATAAGGACAATGGAAATAGTTTATGTAAGTTGAGACAAAGTAACAGAAGTTTTTGAATCAACTGGGGAGATTAGTCTCATTACTTTACCTATGTTATGGTAGGTACATAAAATGAGAAACAGAGGCAAAGAAGAAGAGCACCCGATCACATGTGAGAATCATCTCTGTTCAAATTATGAGAAATAAAAACTGCTCAGGGAAGAAAAGGGACAGAATGAGCGTGTGTGTGAGTGTTTAAAACATCTGAGGAATGTTTAAAGGGAAAAAAATAGTTTGATTTTAGGAATCTAAAATAAATGCAGGTGTTCCTTGCCTTAAAAAATATATATATACCTATAAAGGAAATCTGCCATCCTGGCTAAAATTTTAACATAATGTCACCCAAAAAGTATTTTAAAAGTCAAGTATTTCAAGCTCTTGATAATATGCCAGAATAGTATACTTTATTTTTTTTTAAATTATAAGTGACTTGTCAACTCCCCAGGCCATTAATGGATGGTGCAAAATCTTCTTTTTAGCTATTTGTTATCTGAAACTAGAGCTTCTGTGTATTATTTCATAGTGCTAGTCTACTCAGGTATTCTTCCAATCACTACACCTAATAGTTGTCAGTCTATCTGGTATGTGTTTATAAAAAGATAAAAATGGGGAAGTTATAAATTTGATTCTTTTTTAGCTATTTGCTGCAGGGTCTTCAAAAACTTACTACAATAATATAAATGAACCAACATTACACTTGTAGTCCTACAGCACAGCACTTAAAAGTTATGAGGTTATCAGACGAGGAGATCACGGATCCCTCCTCTCCTCCTTGTTCCTAAGAGCCCTGCATCCTGTGGTTCATTCTGAACCTCTCTTTAGTATTGTTGACCTTGCCTGTATCACTGTGGCCATCTCCTCCTAGTTAGTCAAAAGCATTAACTCTCTTATAAATCTGTTTAGAGGGATGAATTTAAAGTAAATGGTGAGGGAGAAGGTACATAAAGGAATATTTGAGAATCAATCTTCTGCCACAAGAGGATTAGAAGTTATGTGCCAGTATCTCATATCAGGATTTATACAAACCTTAAAACAAACAACAACAATACAAAAACCAAAGCAAGGTAAGTGAGTGAGCGAGCAAGCAAGCAAAAAAGAAAGACCTTTCTAGCCACTTCTGTTAGTGTTAGCTTGTGGTAAGTAAAGAGTTTCATATATATGAATTATTTAATATCTTAAGATTTATAAAAATGAATTATTACCTTTTGAAATATCTTTCCTTTTGAGTACTGTCTTCCTATATGTGTGTACCTATATATATAGGAAATAATCAAATGGACATGTACATAGATATTTATATACTCACACACATAAATATTCAAAAGGAAAAAATTAAATAAATGGGAAATTTTGTTTTAAGACTGCCTGTACTGGAGGTCAAAATTTCCTTTTTACTATTACTATTTGCAAGTAATTTACTAATATCTTGAAAGGTAAAGTACTGCTGACTGATTTAAAGTCTTCATTTCATCAGAAACACAATGACTATATAAACTGCTTTGCATAATAATCGGCACTAAAGGGTAATTTTTAAAAAAGAGAGAGAGAGAAGCCAAACCAAAACAAGCCAACTTTTGGCTGAGTTATACCTTCTTGGTTTTTTTTTTTAAATCTCTGACAGGAAAAACAGAGATCATTTCAAATTTTTTGTCATAGTTGGTTTATTAGAATTAAATGCCTCTAAGAATAATTTAAATTATTGGCCTGACATTATGAATAATCTACACAGAAATCCTTAAACCTGGCTTGAGTTAAGCCAGATTTCAACCTGGATCTCCCTCTCCAGCACTGCTCTTCTGCCAGTCCAAACTGCTTTATGTCCTCCGCTTGCCAATCCATATATTACTTTAATAACCTGATACTGTTCGTTTAGCATTTTATTATTATATATTTATTTGATATGGCTGTTTTAGCTCTGCTTGACGAGATGAAACAGGCACACATGCTTTAGCTGTTAAAATTCCACATTCCGGTTCTATGTAAAGAAAGCAACATCTAAAGCAGCAGAGAGGGGAAACAATTATATTTTCAAAAATAGTTAAGCCACATTGTTTCCTGGAGATACTTCATTTATTTTTCATCCTCAGATGCTACTGGCAATTTTTGGTAGGGCTAGGCATTAATACTGACCAGTTTAGCTTTCCTGGCTGTTAACAAATTATCCACAATGAACCTGCCTTCATACTGAAGCCATTGTGGTGACCTTTTAACATATACATATTCTAAAATATATGCTCAAAGTAAAAAGATTCAAATTCACAAGAGTATGAAATATTTATAAAAAAATCATGCATCAGATTGTACAGTCTAGAAATAAAAGATTTAAATTCAGTAATAAAGGTAAGAGCAATCAATACTTGCTCTAGCATTTAAGAAAGACCTCGAAACCCCAGAAGGTCCTGGGCTCAGTTATCCTTTTCTGTTTGCAGAGAAGCCGTAGCCAGGGCTACTGCCGTGACTGGCTGGGCAATTCCATGGAGCTGCATCTTCGCAAGTTTCTTCTGTTCACATTCTGTGACCAATCGGTTCAACTCTGCGGCACTGTATCCAATAAGAGTCTTCAAGTCACAGACAAACTTGTATACAAATCTTTTGCCTTGAACTTTACAAATCATGTCCCCATCATAGTAATATCTTTAAAAAGAGAAAAACACATCAGCACTGTATAAAAAAAAACAAGTTTGGACTTCTTACAATATTTCACAGACTCTTCCGTAAGCAGAACACTAGTAGAGCACTGCACATACCGTAATGGCAACCTCCACTGAAGTTACATAGAAATACTTGATGTTACCATCCAAGGAAACCTCAGGGCATTATTTATTAAAATTCCAATGCTCGGTACTCCAAAACATTATATGCTAAATTTCAAAGCATATTTTCCACACAATATAAAACACTGATTTAAAAATAAACATCATTAAACAAAATAAAAACCTTTATTACTATAGAACCTATGAACAAGGGCTTAGAGTCAGAATGTTCAGACTTGAAATCCAGCATCTTATCTCCTTTGTGCCCAGCAGAAAGCCACCAGATCTCTGATCCTTTATCCCTCATCTATAAAAGGTTAAAAACAGTACTTACTCTCCTGAACTGTTGAGGATTAAAAGGATTATTGTTGCAAAATGCTTAAGCACACAATAACTGGCAAACAGTCCTGTATTAAACAGGCGCCATGCTGATGATTAAGAATCCATATAGAAGGAAGGAATTTTTAATGCACACAGTCTAAGGATTGCTGAAATGTCTACTTCTTTTCCGTCTTGAACAAAATCCTGTATTGGGTAACCTTCTCTTCACTTTTATCATGTTAGTAAGTGAAGGCTTTCCTTTCAGAGAAGTTCTCCAAATCCAATAGGGAACCTCAAAAGTAAGGAAAAGGGCTAGAAGAGACAATACAAAAAAACCTCGAAATGGGACATCATTAAGAAACAATGTTTCTGAACCTTACATTGGTTCCATTTGTGGAAAACACTCTAGAACAGCGACTTCCAGCCTTTTTCATCTCATGGGACACACAAACTAATTACTAACATTCTGTGGCACACCAAAAATACGTTTTTTGCTGGTATGACAAAAAAACAGGTATAATTTCAATTCCTCCACACTGGACCACCACTGTGCTGACTGTTGTCGTCTGCTTATCTGACCACCTAAGGTATAAAAGAGGTCAGTGACGCTGACTCAAATAGTCAGGTACTGCACGCTGTAAAAATACTTGCAGCACCGACTGAAAATTTCTGTTCTAGGAGGCTAGTTTGTTGCTGCTTTCTATGGAGATGGAAGTAGAGCAGGACTTACATTTAATTTGGAAAACAGACTTTATTTACCACTTTGTACTGCCCATTCCAATAACAGGGAGAAAAAAGCTCAGTGAAGACTTCTGGGCTGGCAGGCTGTGAAACCTTTATTTTAACATAATACTGCCCACTGGCACCCATTCGATGGAGAGCTGTTAGTGATTTATGACAAAAGGATCATTTGTAAAAGTGCCAATGGTATAAACTAACATATACGGGAGAATTTTGTTATAAAAGTCACTCAGTTTGAGTCCATTAATGAAATGACTGACTTATACACAGAAAATCATGTCCTCTTTCCCTAAATGTAGAACAGCAAAGACAGAATAGTCGTGTCCACTTTCCCAGTACGAGATGTAACACATTGGGCGTGGCCTTGTGTTTCCTTCTGTGCCCATACGCTAACACCGAAGGCAGATCTCAGTGCACAAACCTCCAAATGCTTGTCATTCAGTGTAAATGCTACTGGCATTTCAGTTTCTTAAGAGAAGTCCTACATGTTAGGCTGTAATAAACAGACACTCGAGAAAAAAGAACAAAGAAAGAAAGTAGCTTTGTATTTCAAGGGAGAAACTAAGGTGGTATAATCTAATGTTTCTTGGTAAGAGGTGATAAAAAGTACATACACCTAAGTTTTCATTTTACCTAATACTCCCTTCAATTTATTAGATAAATCACACAACCACGTAATAGTTCATTCCATTTGCTCCCCTCTAAAATGAAGTGAAAGGTACACAATACCTGTATTTTCATGAACATAATTTCTTCCTTTTTTTTGAAACTTTTTTTTAACCTTTTAAATTGTGAAATATATCACCAACCAAAAGGACAGAAATGTGAACAGCTCCGTGACTGATGACAACGTGCACGTTCACCCGTGAGCCCCGAGTCGGGGCAGGAAACTGCTGCCCGGACCCGAGTCCCAGGCACGGCCCCTCCCCCTCCCCGTCGTCACTCCCCCTGCCCAGGGGTGGACACAATCCTGTCTCCTGACAGCAACTTCAGTGCTTTCGCTTCCATTCTTGTCACCCAAACACGTATCCTAAATGCTGTAATTTAGTTTTCCTGTGTTTTTCAAACTTTACTCTATTGATGCATTCATATAGTCCACGAATAAGTCTGGGTTGTTTTTTGGGGGCCTGGATTTTTACCGAATATTATATTTATGAAGTTCACCCATTATCAGTGCTTGGAATAATATTTCATTCTCATGGGTACACAGTTTATTTTCCTCTACTGTGTATTCACTCTACTCAATTTTATTTATTCACTCTACCTTTGACAGCTATGAGTATACTGCGCATCCCCAAAGTTCATGTATGCCACGTCACTGTCACAAAAAACCCTGCATGAGTCCCTGATTTCGCTAACCAAAAACATCCGAAGAATATTTTCACTTTTACGAAAAAAAGCAAAAAAGCTAAGTGTTTAGCATTTGTTTCCCAGCAAGCCATTAGAGAGGCGGCATGTACTCCAAGCAGCAACCCTGCCCAACCTCTTCCCCGGGAACTAAACTCGGCCTCTCCACATCAAGCTGCACCTGCTTTGAACTCTCTATAAGCAACTGTGCTCTGCACATTTATTCTGTACATTCCTGCTTTTACTGCATGCCACTGTTATATTAGATTTTATGTTATTTGATACAATTTGGTAGGTTATTTTGGGGTGCAGGAACACTTAAAAATGTTTCTATATAAGCTGATGGTAATTGCTTCTTCATTTGATGCTAGGTCAGCTTATGAAAGGCTTTTCTGGACCACTGCACTTTCAGAGAGTGGGAGAAACCTGTATCTGGGTAGTTTCCAGTTTTTACATGTTATCAATAATTTTGTTATGAGCACTATGGTGTGGATATATGCGTGCATTTTTATTTGTTAAAATAGTTAAGAGACAAACTGCTGGCTTACAGGTTATAATTTACATTCCCACCAAAAGTGTAGAAGCATTCCCATTGCTCTGCACCCTCACTAACCCTCCTGGTACTGGTAATCATCTTATTTGAGCCATCTGAGGTTGTGTGTTGTACCATTTTATTGTGGTTTTAAATTGCATTTCCCTAATTACTAATAACCTCTACATATATTTATTGGCCACCTGAAAAAAATCTCTGAAATGTCTATTTAAGTCTCTTGTTCATTTTTTCTCTTTTTCCTAACAATTTGTAAGAGTTCTTTAGATATTCCAGGTATAACTCTTACATCAGATACATGTGGCCTGTTTTTTTCACTCTCTTGCTGGGTTCTGATGACCACAAGTTCTTAATTTAAAAGTAGCTGTATTTATTGATCTTTCTTTTTTAAGTGAGTTTTTAAAAAGATTTTATTCATTTATCTTTAGAGAGATGGGAAGGGAGGGAGAAAGAGAGAGAGAGAAACACTGATGTGTGGGTGCCTCTTGCATGGCCCCCAACTGGGGTCCCAGCCCACAACCCAGGCATGTGCCCTGACTGGGAATCGAACCAGTCATGTTCAAACCAGCAACCCTTTGATTCGCAGGCCTGTACTCAATCTACTGAGCCACACCAGCCAGGTCTGATCCTTTCTACTAGGCTTAATGTTTTTGGTTTTGTTCAATGTCTTTCCTCACCTATCAAAGTCCTAAAGGTATTTCCAGATGCTTTCCTATTTTATTTTTGACATTTAGAGCCACAAGCTCCACAGAACTGATTTTTAGCAAGATATGTTTTCCTTTTTCCCCATACGGATGTCAGCTGTCCCAACAACACTGACTGAAAAATAGGTCTTGTCATCATGTCCTCTCCCCATTTTCATTTTAAAATCAAACACTCCTGTATTTTCTTGCTTCTATTTGGGCTACCTATTCTAACCTAGGGTCAATTTGACTCTCGTAAGCAAACAGCACACTGTTTTAGTTTCATTGCTGTAGCTTCATAGTGAGTCTCAACATCCCATACAGCAAGACTTCTCACCTTACTAATCTTCTTCAGGTTACTGTGGTGCATTACATTCCCATACAAATTTTGTGATTATCTTGTCAAGTTCTATGAAAAAAACTTATTCAGATGGTTACTGCATTGCAACTTAGGTCAATCTAGGAAGAACTGATACCTTAATTGTTAGTTTGAATAATTCATTTGTAATTTCGAGTGGATTTGTATGTACACAATAATATCAACTGTCAAAACTGGCAGTGTTGATTCTGATTATACTCAGGATTTTTAGTTAGCTGGCAAAATGTTTGAGACTGAATAAATGACAAACACACTGAAAATAAAGCATTTTAGTTATTTATGAACACTAAGGAAAACAAAAGGTCATTCTAGAAAAGAAAAATAATCACAGTGGAGTATGTAACAGTTCTTGCAATGGCCATGATCCCATAATGAGGAACACTGATCTGAACACAATTCCCATGTAGTCAGAGTGGGATGAGCGGGCAAAAGCATGTGTGTGTGTAGTGGTAAGAGGCAGCGCATCCTCTCTTGCTGTGCGACTCAGATGCAAAGTCCAAGGAAACAAGAAGTAGCAGTAAAAATGTTACTTAGAAATACAGAAGTAAATTGCGGAACTACTTCACTATATTCACTCTTCAAAAAAAGAAATAATTCTATGATATTCCTACATATTCTACTTCCCAGATACTTAAATGCACACACTGAATTTCCATCACTGTAGTGAACATAATTTCTTATAGTAATTACATCAAAAAACTTCATACTATGTAGAGGAAATTATAAATAAGTTTATTCCATTCCAATTCCATCGATGTGAAGGGTGGATATTCAGATTTAGGCCATTGTAAGGGGGGGAAAAAGGGAAAATGGGTCATCATTTTGCATCTAATTATAAAAATAGACAATATCTGTATGTTTGCTAAAGTTTACACTCAGTTCAGCAATGCAAATAACAGTATCTTTATCTGTTATGTAAATGATAGAAACCTCAAAGATGTTTCTATCATTAAAACCAAACATGTTGGTTTTAAACAGTGGAGCATATGCTTTTAAATCAGATAAAAACAAGTAACTCTTTCCCGTTAGGCTATCAGCAGACTTCTCAGCAGTAAGGTGGCAGGCCAGGAGGGCATGGAATGATATTTAAAATATTCAAAGATAAGAACTGCCAGCTGCCAAGAAAAATCTACCCAGCAGTTAACCTTCAGGTGTAAAGGATAAAGAGAAGCTTTCCCTGATAAAAACAAATCTTAAAAAAACTCTATGTACCTCAAAATTATCACTAAAGATGTGCTTAAGAAGTCATTTTTAACAGTAGTGTGAAAAATTTTAGCTGTTTTTATATATAACAAAACAATACTTATAAAAACAAGTATTTTAACATCACTACATAACAGTGTTTACACTTAGAATAAGAAGTCATTTTTTTAGAAAGTCTTAATATTTATTTTAAAAAGTGATAAATGCTCACCTTAATGCACGACTGAGTTTCTCATAGTTCATTGTAGGTTTATTTTTACGTTGTCCCCATTTTTGTGCAACCAGTTCAGGCTGATTGAGCTTAAACTCGCCTTCGTCACCAACCCAAGAAATGCAGTCTCGAGCATCCTTGTCAGTAAGAAGCTCGAGCAAAAACTGCCACAGCTGAATTTGGCCATTGTTTCCTAAATGGACAGGGATAAGCAGTGACTGCAGTGCATTAACAGAGGGCAAAAGACAACAGACAGTCTCTCTGGTCCCTGTCTCAGCCGTGCTAAAAGCACAGGTGCTTTTTCAAATGCTGTCTGAGCACTACCAGAGAAACGGTCCATACTCACATTTTCATAGAGTGAAATTAAACTCAATACACATAATTTGACAAATTTTATCTGGTGACGATAATGCAAAAATACCTGTTCTGTTCCCTGGTGAGCTTCTATCTTCTCCTGAAATCCTGGGAGCTCTTTGTACTTTGGCCGCTTTTGCACTACTGTTTATACCTTTAATTGTAGTTGGTGTAGCAGACTGAACTGACGCTGGAATAATTTGGACAGCTGCAAAGAAAGACAAGGGAAAAACTGCTTTCTCTCCTAACACAAACATTTAAAAAAACTGCAGAAAGACATAAAATGCAATTAGTTTAACTAATGCCCCTCTACTTACATCAACAAAAGGCCTCATTTTAAAATGCCTTAATCCACAACAGTTTAGAACAAAGTTTCAAGGATAAGGCATCATATCATGCTTGCTCATGAATCTCAACTTAGTGCATAAGAGTTGGTCTTCTTATTTTTGAAATAACTCAGTGATGTATACAGAGATATAAAATATTTGATCATTAAAAATGCTTTATCAGATGTTGGGAAAACGTGGACAAATGTGAACTCGTATTCCACTACTGATGAGAATCCAAATATATACCACCAGTTTGAAGAAAAAAACTGGTACTGCCTAGTAAGGCTGAAAAGGTCGATACTTACAACCAGAAAATTTCACGTACATTCCGACAAATACTTATTCAATGATACGTTCACCGAAGTTTAATATACAGCAGGAAAAATGAATGAAATAGAGCTGTAAGTATCAATAAGGGTAGGTCTCATAACTTTTAAGCAAAAACGCAAGTTATAAAAGGATATGGATAGTATATTACCATTTTTCCCAAAAAGTTTAAACATGCAAACAACACTATAAAGTGTTTATGGTTACATAGTTGGTAAAAATATAAAATATGCATAGAATAATAGGAAACACCCAATTCAGGATAGCCATTTAAAATGGGATCTGCAACAGGCAAACTTTATATATAAAGATTTCTTTCTTTATAGTGCATGGTGTTATACTTACTGTACACAGATGTTGGTTATAGCTTATTTCTTTGTGTATCTAAAATACTTCATAAGTATTTAAAAATTAGTTTATCTTTTTACTACCTTGCAGTACTGAATAAAGGAAACATTTCGTATTGATAAATGCACCATATGTTATGGGTAGGAATACTCACGTTGATCGATTGTAACTATCTCATTCATCTGCTGTTCTTGGCTTGCCAATACATCTGAAAAAAAACATACAAACATTTTTGGTTTCATTTAAAACCAGAAATGCAAACCCCAATCCAGTAAAATTGAACTTAATAGACATGATTCTTTCAAAAGAAACACAATTACAACCAAAACTAACCAAGCAAAAAAAGCAAAATATCAATTGAAACTTATTGGCATGATAACTTTAAAAATATTTGACAGTCATTCTATAACAAACATATTTTTGAGATAAATAACAAAGGGAAAACTTCAATTTCTTTTTAGAGTTCATTATACAGAGAATCATGGTTTTTAAAATGTAAATATCTACAGCTAAATCTATTTATCTATCTATAAAAAACCATGTGAAACACGGAAAAATAGCAGAGATGAGAATATACACCACACTGAAATTATTTAAATATACATTCTTCACTAAAAAGGCTCCCTCAAGATGATCAGAGAAATCATAATTTAATAATCTATTCTAATAGCCACTTTTAAATAAACTGTTTTAATTTGACAATGCTTTTTCAAGATAGCTAAATTTTCAATAACTGTTAACTGTCCTAAGGGTCACAAATAAACTAGATTATTTAACAGGTCTACAAATACAGCTTCCAAACCTAAGAGTTACATCATAAAAGGCACTAATATATAATCCCTTAGAGAACCATTCATTACTCATCTACCACTGTTCTTTACCTCTCAAACAAGAGGTACACTTCCCAGTCTCTACTACTTTAGCCTATTTACTGCCCATTATTGCCTGGAAGCATCTTGAAATTGAAATTGTATCAACCAACAATCATCTGTGTACAGAGACCTGGGACCTGGGCTCCCAACACAGTGCTACTTAGGGTGCTGTGCGAGGACCCCGTTCTACACACACACACAGCTGGAAAGGACTAGAGGACCAAAAAGAAGTCTGAATCCTACTTGTCAGGTGGGAGTTTTCTTTGGGGGTCCTGGGCTTGGGGGTTTAAACAATTATATGAAACTAGCCTCAGACAGATCCGGGTTCCGATCTGAACATTCATGTATTGGCTGTGTAACTTTGGTTGTCATTCAACCAGCAAGAACATTAAGAATTCCTTATGTTTATATGCAGTATCCCGTAACTGCCACCTCATGAGGTGGCCCTGAGGATTAGAGGAAAATGCTTTTAAGAAGCACAGTGCCTGAAACAGTTAACTTTTCAGCAACTGAAGATGCTACTGTTTTATCCAGATTCCTAGTTCCAAGAATTCTCCCCAAGAACTGTTGTCTCTCTTGAAGAAAAACCCATGCTTCCTGTTTGTGGCAAATTTCCCCCCGAAAATTTTATAAAAGTACCTTGAAGAGGCAAAGTGCAACTGAAATGGAAATTGTCCCATTGGTGACTATAAATGAACAAAGGAGCCCTAGCCTAAAAAGAGGCAAAACAGAGAGTCACCATCACATAGCACAGATGTGACCACCCCATAACACTAGCTTCTAAGTCCTGATTCTCAGTTTCGTCTGTTTTCCAGGAACTCTCAAAATAGAAGGTAAAACATGGAAAGAGAGGTGTTTTTGAAAGCTTGGCATAAGACCATTTAGGCACTCTAAATATCATATTCCTCTGTGACTTGCAGCCTTAATATAGAGATTAAATTAAGAAAATACACATAAAACTCTTAGCACAGCCTTACACAGTTAATAAATGTTAAGTATTACTGTTGTTATCAATAAGCAATTACAATAACCAAGTTATAAAGAAATAAAATTAAGTTACAATGTAAACAGATAATAACTCCAACTTATACATTTTCGAAGAAGCTCCAGATGACTCCAAAGAATTTCTCCCCGAGGGACTCGCTGAAAAAAATCTTCTTGGTTGAGACTGCATAATTCTCGTCCTGAAATGTTGAGTGTGCTGAGGTCTATATCAGTCATGCTGAATTCCTTCATGACCCAAACTACCCAGTGCAAGACCTGGTCTGTGGACCACTGTATAGGATCTAAAAAGAAAAATAGTACCATTAGCCTAGTTTCATCTTAGGTATTATATACATTTTTAGTTAACTTGTCAACATACATACACAGAGAAAATCCAGACAGCTTCCCCCTGTCCAAGTAGGTCAAGTTAGCTCAGCGTATAAAGTAAAAAAGATTTTTATGTTATACTTTCACTTTAGCTCCTTTTCAATTTCTTAATCTAAATTTTTGATGGATTCATATGGTTCTGTGTCCATCAGTCTGAAATTTTCTCAAGAAAAGCAAAACGCAAAATTGTTCTTGAGTGGGCCAAATGAAATGAAATATGTGATTACCCTGGAGGAAGTTATCCAAGTTTAAAAATTCATCTTGTAACCCTGGCTGGTGTGGCTCAGTGGATTATGAGCTGGCCTGCAAACCAATGGTCAACAGTTCAAGTCCCAGTCAGGGCATGTGCCTGGGTTACAGGCCAGGTCTCCAGTAGGGGGTGCATGAGAGGCAAACACACACTGATGTTTCTCTTCCTCTCTTTCTCCTCCCCTTCCCCTGTCTAAAAATAAATAAATAAAATCTTTATAAAAAATGTTTATCTTGTAGTAGTGTATAACTTGATGCACTAGAAAAAAGTAAAAACCAAAGGGGTTTCTATGGAGCTAGGCTTACTATCCAAAAAGTGAACAATGCAGTCATTCCTTCTTCTTGCTGCTTCTTATAAAAAGCTGGTTGCTCCTGCATTCACCCTTACTATACAACATGCGAATTGCCTGTTTAGTCAACTGTCTTCTCCTATAATACATTGAGGTCTTAAAAAAAGAATGGTGTCTCGTAAATTATTCTATCTTTAAAATTTACCACAGTGCCTTGTGCATATATTTGTTCAATCTACAAAAGGTGAATCAAAATAATTTCATTTCCTCATTGTTTTTTACTAATTAAATTCAAAAATGAAAAAAAGGCCAACATGTAAAAATATATTTCATCATTGTATTCCTGACCTAATAGACCTAATAGAGCACTCTACTCATAGAACTTTAATAAACACGAGCTGAATTAATTTTGGTATAGGTATTGATGCATGGAGATGATCTATCCAAATAATACTGATTATATGCCATCAAGATACATGTTATTCAATAAGAAATTAGATGGGAAAAAAATAACATTTAGGTACTTAATCAGGAGCCAATATACACTAAAATCAATCAACATAAGGATACAGGATTAACAGCCAAAGAATTGATTTTTTTTCTGTGATTTTTTTCAGGAGGATTCTGAGAAGATGGCAGAGAAACTGAAATTTTTTTTCCTGAATTAAGAATCACTAAAATCAATTATAGAACAAAAGCAAAAATCCATTAATATTTTCAATAAAAACAAGAGATCCCCATGGACCCCGAAATACATTCAGGTGAAGATAAAGCAGTAACAACCACAAGACCTCCACAGTGTGCGCATCTGTGCAGGAGAACCCACAGGGGGCGTAAAGACACATCTGACACACCATCCACTGTGAGCATGGAAAACCCGAACACAGCTGGAGGTATCCATTAAAAGCACAACAGACCAAAGTGAAAGGAGCAGCTCAAAGCAGTTTTGCTCAACCCAACAGCAGCTGAATACAAATGTCTGGTAAGGCTTAGGGGCTGGAGCAGTGCAGCACCTGTTGAGTTTTTCAAACTGAGCCAAAACCATTTCTAGAGAGTGGACCACAATGAGGAGAAACTGGTGGGAGTGGAATTGAAACTGAGTAGCATAGAACACCAAGGGAAAGGAAAGAACAGGTCCAGGTAAAAGTGGAGTAAGGGGACATAAAGGAACTGAGAAAGCAAGTAGCTCTATGAAAACAAGAGAAGAGGGGGTGTGGCTCATTAGAAAAACTATGCAAACCACACTTCCCCTTAAAAGTCCAAGAATGCTCACTTTACATAAACAAAAAAAGTAGCAAATCAAAGTAGAAGAAAAACAGAAATAGTCTAGTTTGTTTGCTAAAATAATATCAGGACTTCTGGTTTAACATTACTAATTGGCCATGCATGTTCTCCTTGCCTTTTCTCTAAGACCCCAGTACAGTGATAGTAAAATCATTTTTAAGAGATGTAAACTCATAGGAATATAAGTAGGAAATGTCAGAAATGATTTGGGAGATTTCCACAAATTTTTTGAAGATAATAACCAGAATGAAAATCCAGCAAAGTAAGAAAAGCCATAACCTCAAAGATCTATCAAGGAGGATACCAATAAAAAATGAAAGTATTCCTGCCTGCAGAACCCCCTCACTGGCTTAGGTCCTGGTGGTTCCAGGAAGCAGGAGAGGTTTAAGTGAGAAATGTGGAGGTAGATATAAAGTATGCTGAGAACCTCCAGCGCCTCTCCTTCATTCTCAGGAGCCACCTGAATGAAAGCAACCACACACATGTGAACTCCAGAACACTTTAGATCTGGGAGAGACATTAAGCAGATACTGAGATAACTGACCTCAGTAAGAAAAGTGTAAAAACTAAAGAGCAAAACCTTTCCTATCTCCCTATTTTCCATGCCCCTTTTCATTTCCAGAATGTAGCATTCACTTACACATTAACCGCAAATCCTCATGTCAACCTTACACTCTTGACAAGTGTTTGGCTAATTCCAGGTAAGTTGAAGAGACCCAGGAAACAGACCTATACACAGTGACATTTGAAAATCTTTTAATGAGCCCTGGCTGGTGTGGCTCAGTGGACTGAGCACTGCCTTGCGATGCAAAGGGTCACCGGTTCAGTTCCCAGTCAGGGCACTTGCCTGGGTGGCAGGCTGGATCCCCAGTTGGGGGCACACAAGAGGCAACCACACACTGATATTTCTCTTCCTTTCTTCCTCCCTCCCTTCCCCTCTCTCTAAAAAATAAATGAATAAAATATTTTTAAAAAATAAAGTCTCTGTGCAACAAGTGTTAAAAAAAAAAATCTTTTAATGAAAGAACCACTATCCCAACTTTACCAGTGTATAGTGAGCAAATCCCTTACAGAACTTCAAACTAATTCATTTTAAAGTTATTCCCTTTTAAATATAAACAGATGGTCAAATGTAAAGATATTTGACAGGCTGAAATCAAACCATGAGAAAAACAAAAAACCAACAGGAGAAAGAAGAAATAATGCAATAAAAAACTGAAAAAACAACTTACCCCTCAATTATAATATACTCAGAAAACATGTATCTATAAAATAAGATCAGAAAGCCATGGAAAAGCAACAACCAAAAATAAAGAGACCTTATGAAGTAAAAATAAAAATCAGACAGGTTGCAATATAAAGACAAAACAATTGACAGAAGGCAGTACAAATAGACATGAAGATGAAAAATGGAAGAAACCCAGAAGATTGAACAGTTCTAGAAAAAAAATACAGAAACACAGGGTACTTATCAAAATAATAATGCAGAAAAATTTTCCAGAACTGAAGTGACTGATTAGCACTGTCCAATAGGAAATACAACACAAGCCACTATGTATTTTTTAAAATTTCTAGTAGCTACATTTACAAAAATTGAAAAAACAGCTCTGGCTGGTGTGGCTCAGTGGATTGAGCATGGGCCTGTGAACCAAAGGGCCGCCCCCTGGATTCCCAGTCAGAGCACACGCTTGGGTTGTGGGCCAGGTCCCCAGTAGGGGGTGCTCAAGAGGCAACCACACACTGATGTTTCTCTCCCTCTCTCCTTCCCTTCCTCCTCTCTAAAAATAAATAAATAAAATCTTTAAAAAGAGAGAGAAAAAACAGGTGAAATTCATTTTTTCAATAATAATTTCATTTAACTTAATATATCCAAATGTTATCATTTCAACATATAATCAATGTAAAAATAAAAGGATTCTACATTCTTCCCTTTTTTGTATGGGGTATTTTACATTTACAGTACATTTCAATTCAGACCAGGCACATTTCAAGTGCTCACATGAGACTAGTGGCTACTACATTGGGCAATACATGATAGACTGAAATTCTACACTATAGAGCATAAATTTACAGCAAATAAAAAAGGTCCACACTCCACTAACCAAGATAAAGACCAGAAATAGAGATCTTAACAGCTTCCAGAAGGAAAATAGAGTATCAAAAGAACTAGAATCAGAATGCCCCCTTAACACCCTACACTATAACAAAATGGAACGGGGTCATCAAAACTGATTTTTCAACTTAATATTCCATATACCCAAACTATTAATCATAGCAAAATAAAGACATTTTCAAATATGTGAAGTATTGTCCCACAAGAAAAGGAAAAAAAAAAACCTATTTCCCATGTGCCCTTTCTTAAGGAAAAAGAGAATGAGCCCTGGCTGGTGTGGCTCAGGGTACTGAGTGCCCGCCTGCCAACCGAAAGGTCGCTGGTTCGATTCCCAGTCAGGGCACAAGCCTGGGTTGCAGGCCAGGTCCCCAGTAGGGGGCATGTGAGAGGCAACCAATCAATCCATATATCTTTCGCACACAGATGTTTCCCTCCCTTCCCCTTCTCTAAAAATAAATAAAATCTTAAAAAAGATAATTAGAGAATAAAACTAAAAAAAGGAAAATATGAGACCCAGGGGACATTGGGGGATACAGGACCGCAAGGAAGAATGTTCAGGTGTGTCCTAAGATGACGGCTCTATGGCATATCTAGAAAAATATCCAACCCAGAGGTACAGAAGAATTTGGGAAAAACAGGCGCAAAACAGACCAATGGAAATGAAAGAAAGAAAGGCTTGGTGTATACAGAAATCTAACTGGGGACATGGCCACACGATGCAGAGTTGTACACTTGAAACCTGTACAGTTTTGCGAACCAATGTCATCCCAATGAATTCAATAAAAACAAAACCTAACTAAAAAACGAGTCAACTTGGAACTTTAGAAAAACTAAAAGTATAAACATAATCACAGTAGTACAAAAACAAATCAATTCTCTAATGCACACAATGACTAATGACAAACAAAAGTTACATAACAATATTAACAAAATGGGGAAAGATAAGGTTTTGTTTTTGCAGGGGAGAGAAGTATAAGAGAACTAAACCTCATCTTCTCTAACAGGAAGTTAATAATAAGTAAAAGTAGTCAAGTGAAATGTGGCTGAGACCAGGGAGCAGGAATGAAGAAAGAAAAGCCATGTTAGGGAACAACAGTTTTTCCTATGACTTCGTTTAAACCAGACTTGAAAGATACATAATAAATGACAGACCTCTCCCACAGGGGGGATGGGTGGGGCTATGGAACTAGATAGCTAGTTAGATCCAAATCGACTATATTATTCTTTATTTTCTGAAAATACGTATCATACTTTTAAATGTTAATATTTGACAACTCTGGGAAACAAAAACATGAGTATATCCCTTTTTAATTATTCAAAGAACTGGAAAAATAATCTCAGCATATTCATCTTTTCAATATTCCTATTTAATAAAGAACAAGAATATACTTACTCTAATCTTACTTTTAGTCAATTTTAACATTCCCCATAACTCAATATGAGCAGACTTCTAACTACTATAATTTCATTAGTTTCTTCACACATATTTAATGTAAAATAATAAAATTTTTTTTAAAGAATTAAAGTTCTGAAGAATGTAAAAATAAAGGAAATAACCTATGAGTAGAAATAAATATGCATGAATATTTCAAGAGGTGGCCCTAAGGTCCTCTCGAGGTATCAAACTGATGTGTGTAAAGTGAAGCTTAGAACATTTTCCATTGTGGATCAGTATTTCAAAGAGATTTGAAGTACCCACAACCAATTAACCACATTTAAATTTTGCACAGAATTAAGTAGCAAAAAAAATTACTTTTAGGTGCAGAATAGAAACCTGAAACAGTAATTTCCAATGAAAATATTAATCATTTCTAAAACTTTCTGGAAGGTAACAATTTCATTAGAAAAATCACAAATGATATTTTGAAGTCTCTCTATACCTAAATAAATCTCAAATGTCGTAAAAGAGCTTCATTCTAATAATAATCTTTGTAGGAACTTTGAATCAGAGTTTATAATCTGGCTATCTACAATTCATTTTTATACATTACTTTCCATAAAAGATTCTACTATTGAAGAGTTCTTGTTAAAAGTCCAGCAAACTCCAGGAAATATCACTTCAAATGTTTTTACGCTGCCTTCTTTCATTCTTAGCATTCTTCTCTAAGAGATGACTCCCAACTTACTAAGGTCAAGGACACCATTCATACCAGCTTCAGATGTCAAAAGTAAGTTAATAGCTTCATCCCATCTCTGAGGAAAGGCTAGGTTCCATTATTCAAGCTACGCTCTTCTATGTTGTTGTGCTTCAATCAATGATCCTGCTCCGTGCTTATTTAATCTCACCTCCTGCTAGTTCCATACCACACATCTACAAATGCACTCGTCACCACCAACTCCTGAATCTCCAGTACTATTTATTCCCCCAGCACTATTCCCTAAGAAGTTAATATTCAATTTTCTCCACTTCTTTAATGTTTATTTCTATTAGTTCAGTTTTGTCTCCACCTGTATAGTTTCTTTTATCTAAATCTACCATGATCACCATATTTAGTACTCAGTCAGCATTCTTTGAGTTTCTCAGTGGCATTCAGACTTTTAATCATCTAAAACTCTTTCTGAGTTTCAGTAACACTATATATACAGTTCTCATTTTCCTTCTATCTCTTCAGTTACTCCATTTCTCCCTCCCTTTTCCTAAACTCTAATAATTGACAAAGTCCAGGAACCAGCCTTTAACGTTGTATTCTTTTCCATTTTATCTCTCTCCTTCAGAGACTGCATATACTTTTATGGCTTCAGTACAAATTCAATGTGATTGAGTCCCAGACAATATCTTTATCCCAGTTCCAATCTCGTGTACCCGAAACTACTTTCTGGCTACCTCCAGTTTAGTATGTACTACTACTTCAAAATCACATACTATCAACACTTGTCCTTGACAAATCCAATACCAGACTTCCCTACCACTGGCCACTGAGCTCTGGAAGGCACGGACTGACTTTACTGAGCACCATCAAAAGCCCACCACTGAATACAGTGCCTGGCACGCGCAGTTCACAAACTATGTAATGAAGATGCAACCAATACTTATCAATATTATAGCCCTAGATGCCAAGATTGCGAAGTCACATGAACATTTAAATTTTATCTCTCTACCCTGGTATAATCTTATCAATCAGCTGCTTAGTCCTATCACTGCTTTGACCTTCTTCTTTCTATACCCATGGAAATGACTTAATCCTAACCTAGATATTATCACCTAGCCACACTTAAAACTATAAGACTAATGTTTTCCCTTCACTCTCTCTACCTGTTCCAACTTGTCATACACCACTGCCACATTCATTTTCAACTGTAAATTCCATTAATCAAAAACAGTTGTATAGTGCTACAAAATAACTTATCTACTATACTTCCTCACTGCTCAAGCATACTCCCCCTTTCCAGCTTTATACATACTTTTCCTGTCAGGAATGTCTTTCTGTGTCCAGTAATTTCTCTGTAATAAACCCTTTCCTCATTTCCCCCCAAGCCACTATGACCTCTCTGAGATGCTAATAGCACATTTCCTTTATACCAGTTACTCACAGCTTAAAAATGTTACCATTATGGCAATTATCTCTTTTTATCTACCTTCCCTCTCTTCAACTACACTGTGAACACCCTAACGGTAGAAAAAATTTTTAATACAATTGTAGGCCGTATAATGACATTTTGGTCAACCGTGGACTGCATTTACAACAGGGCCCCATAACAGTATAATGGAGCTGAAAAACTCCTGTCACCCAGTGATGCTGTAACCATCAGGACACTGCAGTGCAGAGACTGCAAAAATTAACAGGCTGTGGTGGAGATGGCAAATAGCTTAATCTGGTGTAGGAGAGGAGGACGTTGAGGAGCTCCTAGAGGTGGTTCCTGAGGAACTGATTAATGAGGAGTTGCTGGAACTGGAAGGAAGAACGCAAAGCTATAGAAGAGGCAAGAGAAAAGGAAACTGCAGAAGGAAAATGGAGAGTAGGAGTTTAGCAGGAGCATCTGCAGACTTCAACAAGCTCCTTAAAAAATCTGAAAACATGGACCCCAACACTGAGAGGTTTTCGTAACAGAGAGGAATGTTCATGGTGCGTTATGTGCTTACAAACAAATCTATGATAAAAACCACCACCAAAACAACAAGCAAACCACTGTGGACATATTTCTGGAAAGAGTGACAGCCCCCCACAGAGCCTCGGGCAGGCCCTTCAGGAGCTGTTCCAGAGAAGGCATGGTTATCACAGATGACGGCTGCAGGTATGTTACTTATTGCCCCCGAGAACCTCCCAGTGGGATTTGAAACATGGAGGTGGAAGACAGTGTGTTATGGACAATTTTGACTCTGTGTAGGCCTAGGGTAATGGATGTTTTTGTCCTAGTTTCTAACAAAAGTTTAAAAAGTAGAAACAACAACGACAAAAAGTTTAAAAGCTTACAGAATAAGGATCTAAAGAAAACATTTTTGTACAGCTGCACTATGTGTTTGTGTTTTCAGCTAAGTGCTATTACAAAAGAGCTGAAAAGTTAGAAAAAAATTTCAAGTTGATAAAATAAAAAAGATACAGTAAGCTAAGGTTAATTTATTGACAAAATGAAATTTTGTTTTGGTAAATTTAGTGTGCCCTAAGTGTACAGTGATTACAAAGTCTGCAGCAGTGGAAAGTAGCTTGCCAGGCCTTCACATTCACTCACCACTCACTCACCGACTCACCCAGACCACCTTTCTGTCCCGCACACTCCACTCAGGGAAAGTGCTCTTTCTATTCAGGTATCGCATTTTTACCTTTTACACCAAACTTTTACTGTAGCTTTTCTATGTTTATATAAACAAATGTTTACCATTATATTACAACTGCCTACAGTGCTCAGTACAGTAAAATGATATACAGGTTTATAGCCTAGGAGCAACAGGCTATACTATATAGTCTAGGTGAGCAGTAGGCTCTACAACATAGGTTTGTGTATCTGTGCTCTATGTTTGTGCAATGACAAAACTGCCTAACAATGCATTTCTAAGAACATATCCAGATTGTTAAGTGAAAGACAATTGTATTTCTTTGCATTCCTAGTACCCAGGACAGTATCTATCCATCATGTGTTATGGTAAAAAAAAAAAAATTCTTCCTGAAAATTCTACATTTAAAACAGATTATAACTTACCCTAGTATCTTCCATGTCAAGCTTAGTTCTTATTATTCTGCCTAGCATGTAATTATGCTTCTTCTTACCATAGGGTATCCCAAGGCGCTCCTGCTCTTTCCTGTAACCTTCCAGCGCGGCAGCCCATCTCGTCACTTGTTCCGAGGTCTCATCTGAAATGGTGGTAATGTGCTTTGTGCCATCGAGAGTTATCACTTGGGCTTCCTCAACAAGATGTGCTTCTGCTTCAGCATGGTGAGCGTCTGGATCAATAACTACTTCAACTGTTTCCGCAGGTTTAACAATTTCAAGGATGTTCAGCTTTGGTTCAATTCCTTAACAGTAAATTAAAAAAAAAATGTTTAAATGAAAACACAAAAGTCACTAACAAAATTTAGTTTACTTTATATGTTCTCAAATAATAGAGCAAAACTCCATTTTAAATATGTTCAGCAATATATCTAGAGAATTCAACAGATTCCTATTAAATGATAAAAATGATTCCATAGAACTTTGATAGTTTAGATAATAGTGTTGTATTAATTAATTTTTCCTGATTTTGGTAACTGTACTGTGGTCTTTTAAAAAAATTCCTTGTTTTTAGGAAACACACACATTGATGTATTTAGGAATAGAAGTGGATTATATCTGCAACTTATTTGTAAACAGGTAAAAAAAAAATGTGGGGACAAGGAAGAGAATAAAGCAACCTCTTCACAAATTCCCCTTTTTGTGCTGCACTGCAGAGACAAGATCCCCTTGCAGTGGTGGTTCCCAGGGTGACGTAGGCCCAGGATCACTGGCATGGGCCTTCTATTGAGAATGAGTTAAGAGGGGATAAGGGGGCACATGGCATCCACTTTTGGCTGCTGTGTTTCACTGAAAAGGCAGCATGGTTCCAGATGGCAGGCAGGGAGGGCAGCAGCTTCCTTGGCCGCCCAGCAGTGTGGCTTGGCTGAGGCATTCTTAGAAAGCCAACTGGAACCTGTTCTTCCAGCCCTCTCTCTGATCCTGTTACTTACCACTCTACAATATATCCCTTCCCGATTAAACTAGGTAGAATGTGTTACACTATCTGCTTCACCTTGACAGATAAAATAATTAAATCAAAAGCATGACTGTTTGTCTAGAATATTGCAGTAACTTAGATAACCATCTAAAACACCCAAAACTTATAAAAATTGAGTTGCCATATTAGAAAAACACAAGTAAAGCTTTAAATAACTACACTAATATTAACTTACCTTGGTAAGAAATTACCTGTACACTAAGCTGTACAGTTCCATCTGTCTTTACTCCTTGGTCAAATAAACTTCGTTCTGGATCAAGCTAATAAACATGGTGAAAATGAGTAACATTATTTTTACATAATCATCTGATTTAGCAAAAATGATGTACCAAATGGACTTAATTACTGAGGCATACTAATTAAATTATAAGAGCACACTTAATTATATCAGTTGTCATATCATTTAATTCTCTGCTAAAATTTAAAATATTTTAACCACTGTGTCAGTAGTTAAGGATAACATAAAGAACAGAATTTATTTTAAATGGAAGTTTTCTCTAGCTCAGGATTCTAGTTTAGGATTTTAAATAATGCCAAAAGGCAACTGTTTATTCTGTACAAGTATTTAAAATAGAAATAATGCAATGTATCTGTCATGAAAAAGCAAGGGTGTTTAATTAGTGGGGACAATTTAAATAAATTAATATAATATTTGCTGTATCTTCTTTGTAACCAATGCCACAATTTAAGATCACAGTTAATGCTATATCTCTGATCACAAAATTAATAAGGAACTAACGAGTTCACTACCTGACCTAGATAAGAACATCTTTAATCATAATTCTATATCCTTTAAATCAGTGCTTTTCCCCGTTCCTATCGCCTCATCATGAATACATTTCACACAATGACAAACCGATGACAAAAAGTAATTCTGACTTTCAGATATTTTCTGTCACTAGTTTAAAAATAGGCTTCCACTATAATTATCTTGAAAAATGAAGAGCTATATGTATCTATGTCATACAGCTGGAGGTACAAAGCTCTCCACTCTCATTCCCAAGAGTTTAGTCAATATTGTAGTTACCATACAAACAGATTTTCTAACATTAAAGATGTCATATGTGTAAAGCCTAAAACCGTAAGTGACTATACATCTAACTTAATCAGGGATAAGACAAGCTGTGTAACCCTGCAAACACAGAGGTCAAACTTGGCAGTTTCACTCAATATAACAGTCTCTTTCTGACACTTCATTAAAAAGTCTCCTAATATCAAGATTTCTCCCCTCTCCAGTAGACACTGAAATTATCCACTAGAAGTGATGGCATGTGCAACTCTGAAACTGAGCTCTCAGGTACTGAACACACTAATTAGTTCAGTAAGCCTGGAACAAGAACAAAACTCAAGCATGATATTTGATCTTGGGTAATAATCCTCCAACAATGCAACTCTGCTGTTCCATCAGCTTTGAAGTCAACATTCACCTGAAAATACAGAGGCAGTACCACAAGCAGCAAGCATTCTGACTCCAAATGACTATTTGCATTAGCTGACATGGAGAACAGAAGTTGCTATTCATAACCTTTTTGAGAGGGCTGGGGGGAAGGAAGAGTGCAAAGTGCCTTAGATCCAAGGCCAGCTCTAAATTCTGTAACACTATGAATTATGCATATTTCCATTTAATCAACAAATATTTTTTGAAAATCTATGATAGGTTGGGTACTTTACAGGTCACATTTCAACCTGGTTAGACCAAGTACCATAAAAGCAGCAACAAATGTTAAAGTTGAAAGACAAGAGATTAAGTAGGATTCCCTTTTATGTTAGATATGAGAACAATTAATGACACTGAGTTATTCAATACAAACTTTCTTAAAAGTCTGCCTTAAACAACTGAAGGGTTTTGAAGTCACAGAGGCCTGGGTTCAAATTCCACTGCACTCCTGTGTAGCAGCTAAACACTAGGAAGCTATTTAACCTTTTTAAATATCAGTTTCTATATCTGCAGAGTATGATTAAGAATATGCTGACACAGACTGATGTGAAGATCAACCCACTGAGCTACATCAGCCTACACTACTTCACCAATTTTTAATGGCTGCCTTGAATTCCAATCTATAGAACTTATTTACCTAATCCCCGTTTTTGGAACATTTGAGTTATTTTCAGTGTCTGCATAACCATGCAATGAGCATCTCATATGTACATCTTTGCTCACACAGGAGAACATTTCAACTTATTGTACATCAAAATCTTGTTTCAGCCCTGGCTGGTGTGGATTAGTGGATTGAGGGCCAGCCTGTAAACTGAAATGTTGCCAGTTCTAGTCTCAGTCAAGGCACATGCCTGGGTAGTAGGTCAGGTCCCCAACTGGGGGTGTGCTAGAGGCAACTAATTGATGTATCTCTCGCATGTTGATGCTTCTCTCCCTCCCTTTCCCTCTCTTTAACAGTAAATAAATAAAATCTTTTAAAAAAATCTTGTTTCAAAATAGTAGGTGTATGATTTTAATTTTAAAAAATGAAAGCAAAAGTTCTATAATACATATGAGGAGGAGAAAAATAAAAAATAAGATAAACCAAACAATCCAAAAGATTAGTATAAGTTAATATTACGAACAGTATAGGAGAAAATGGGGGGCCATCTGTAATAGTGTCAACAATAGAAAATAAAAATTAAAAAATAAAAACAGTATAAAACTCTAGCATATGATCAAGGGAAGTCTGGAGAAACTATTTGAGCAATCCTATCTAGGTTACTACCTTTTATACATTAAAATATGCTGCAAACAATATACTGCTATAATACCACCAATGGTAAAATCCTATTACAATCAGCTACAAGAAATGTAATGACTGGACATGGAAATTCTTGCCCAAAATTTACTGCTGAAAGGTAATGTAAAGACCATTTGGTAAAACTATCTCATTTTAAAAATGAGAAAAATAATGCATAAAGATACTAAAAGCTAGTTACAAACAGGGTGAGGAGTGCACACTTCTTCAGCTTCCAAAATCAGCATGCTTCCCACTACTCTGGTTAGCTCTAATTCAGATTTAAACTTTCCATTTTATATTTGTGAGAGTAAAAAAATGTTTGATTTAATACTCAATTTTTTATAAGTGAGATTTTATTGGTTGTTCTGAAGATAAGTACATTGACATTTCAATTTGTACACAATTCTTAACATACGTACCAAAAATGTAAAATCATGTAGTTATGATTCTTTTCTGAAGTTATTCCAGTGACTTTCCAGCTTAAAATTTGGGGACTAATTTCCTTATCTTATTAAGGATACTCTTATGTATCAAGTGCCAATATCTGCAAATGCTGATATGCTGTTACATCAATGCCTGACTAATTCACAATTTAATATATATACCACATAATCGAATTTTCAATCTTTCACAGCACATTAGCGAAGTTACTAGGAAAACTGGACTACCACAACAAGATGTTACAGAGTGCACAAAGTTCTGATGGGGGGAGCCAAGATCAAGGAGTGGTTTTCTTTAGGAAACACTTCTACCAAAAACATGAGAAGTAATTTAAAATGTTCGAGACAGAGTAAATGCATGACTGACTCCAAATTGCCATTTAGTATGCTTTGTGTTATAGGATATCAAAACTACCCCCATCTATGGAATGTTTAGCCGGCACCCAAGACAGTCAAAGCCTCCCATGTTCAATATCCCACTATTTTCTGGTTGTACCAAAAAATAAACAACCAGCAAATGATTTCACCTCTTAAAAAAAATCATTTACACTTAAAAAAATGGGATGAGGTTCCCTCCTCCTTAAAAATGTTTCTAGAGCTACTAAAAAACTTGCATTTACAAAATAGTTGATAAAAATATTCCTCTGGATTGTACAAGAAGGGAGACAGGGGCCACTGATAAGACATGATATATGGTATTAATCAGACTTGGCTTCTTTTTCTCCTGCTTCATCTGAGGCTGGACTCTCCTCGTTTTCAGTTTCTCCGTTTTCCACAGGTAGGTCTTCCTTAGGCTCCTGGTTAGCCACTTCGGCCTGTTTACCCTTTGCTCCCCTTTTCCCTTTCGTTTGCACCTTTTTGTCTGCAGACTTGTCCTTTCCTGCCGCCTTTTTGGGCTTGGTTTCCACTTTTGCAGGAGCAGGTTTAGCTGACAACCTCGCACATCTCCTCTTGGGCTCTTCCTTTGCTGCTCCCTCGGCGGAGCTGACCGTCCTCTTGGGCATCATGCCGGTGGGGCGGGCCCGTGCCGGGTGCCTGAGAGCAGCGCCGTGCAGGGAACCTTCGCAGACCTGGACTGCCTGGCTGATACTAATACTCAATTTTTTAAATATAATTTTAAATGAAGATTTTGCCAAAGGAAGTCTCTTTGTGTCTAACTGCTTCAACTTTACAATGACACGGATCAAATACAGTTACAGATAACTACACTGCTTTAGGGGAGCCCAGCTGCCATGTCGCGAGCAGCCCTACAGAGAAGCCCGTGTGGTGAAGTGAATGGTCCCGTCACCAGCATCGTGAGTGACCTTGGAAACAGATATGCTAGCCCCAGTCAACTCTTCAGATGAGGATAGCTTGGGCTGACAGCTATAGAGATTAAAGGCCAACGACAACAACAAAATATTTCTAATGCAGACTTAAATGCTAAAACATAAATCTTTTAAAAAAATAGATTACCTGGATATCTTGTAGGCATATTTCATGAGCATCCAAAGAACACTGTAGTCTTGGTTCTAGTAGTTTCTTTAAATTGCCTATTGGCTCATTGATGTCTATGGCCTGGCTTACACATTCAGCTGGGGTGTAGGTTTGTTCTACAATGCTAAATGTTAAAGGATATAATGGTTAACAATTACATTTTACCCTGAAAACTAAAGTAACAATATGCCCAAACCAAAATTGAATACCAAAAAACACATGTCTGGTCTTTGAAACTCATTTCTGCACAGACACACCATTCACGGTGGCAGTGGCAGGTTCATTACCAGTCAGTGCTGCCGAACTGCACACTGAACTGCACAGAGAAACGCTAGCTTGAGAGGTAAAGCACCGCTGCAAATCTCCCACCCCCATATATAAACACACACACGTACATAGGCAATTTCCCTTCCCAACATAAATACAATTAAATGAATGCAAGTTATGATATGAAAATACAAGTTATAAAATATTTTCCACTTATTTTAATCTGAAAACTACTGGCTATAATCAACATAGTTCCACATTAAAAAAATTCTTCCTTTAAAAGTCTCTTAGGGCTCTTTAGTATTATTATTTCATGCTTTCAATTCTATGGAACTGTAAATTCCTTAAAGGTAAAATCGTGGGCAAATAATTCTACATATCCTTGGTAAATCCTCACTTGGGGCCAAAGAAAAGACAGACAACATGTAAAATTTGTCAAATTGGTAAATCTGGAATTCAAGTTTCACAACATGTTTAATTTAAATATGATTTAAATCTCATTTGTAGTTGTCAAAAACAGTATGTACGTAACAATTTGTCAAGTTCCATTTTTACATAAATTTCTAGTATAATGTGATGTACATGATATTCAATGAATATGTATTGCCTAAATTCCTTCCAAAACTTCTAAAATTTATAAAATAGACCACTCATGATTGAAAACATATCATTTTAAATTATTATAAATTATTAGTATTATTAGTTAAGATAGAATAATTGGGTCTTTTGGCTAAGTATTTTTATTAAATTCTTCAGCTGTAGCCCCATGGGCTATATTTTTCTTTTTTTGTAACAATGATTCTTTTTTAAAAACTAGATGATACTTTTTTACATAAGCTCAACATTTAAAACATGTAAGAATATTTTGCTGCCACCATTTAAACCTTGGGAGAGTTAATACAAAAATATGAATCATCAGTTTCTCTTGAAAAAGTCTGGATGATCCCATCACGGGACCTGAATTCCTACACAGCAGCAATCTGCTATGCTGGCTAACTGCTCCCTTTACACAGCCACTCCCCGGGTCAGCAGGGTCACTACCAACCTCTTACCGGACACAGGCGATACAGCCAAGTTTTTCTGTAAAGGCCAAACAGTAGAAACTTTAGGCTTCGTGGACCATTTGTGTGTGTGTGTATATATAAAAATAAATATATGCATATCAGGCTCCAAGAAGCCCAAATAGTCCTCATACCCTTTTAGAGTTCCCTCCACATTCTACCAAGGGTGGACTGTGTGACCAAAAGACTAAGACAGGTGTGACATGCTGCTTCTCAAATTAGGTTTTGTAGAACAACAGCATGGCTTCCATTTTGGTGAGTATGCTCTCTTGGGACATTTGCTCTAGGGGAGGCCAGCTGCCCTACAGAGAAGCCCGTGTGGTGAAGTAAGCAGTCCTACCACCAGCATCGTGAGTGACCTCGGAAACAGATACTCTAGCCCCAGTCAACTCTTCAGATGAATACAGCCCAGACTGACAGCTTAACTGCAGGCTCATGGAATGCCCTGAGCCAGAACTAAGTTCTGGGGTAATCTGTTACATGAATGAATGAATGAAAATATACATATCAAAATATGTATACATATCAAAATTAAAAGAGAGGTACAGTCTCTATTATCTCTTCTCCTGGGGAAAACAGCATAGTCAAACACTCTGAAACCTTCCATTAAAAATTTAAGGTCTCTCGAGCAGTCATGACCTTTTCTGTCAGGAAAATATTCCCATGCCAAGGCATGGTGGCAGAGGACAGGACTGAAGACAACTAAAATAGGGTTTGTCTTATCAGGCAGAGCCAACCTTCTCCTCTGAGAAGAGGTGGTAGCACGGGTAACCACAGCCCGCTGGCAGAAAACACTGGCAGAAAACACTGGCAGAAAACATGGGGAGTTGTGAAACAATTGGTATAAATCTCAATGACAACAGACGAGTGAGTTCTAAAGATCTGTTGTAGAACACTGTGCTTATTGTTAGCTATGCAGTATGGGGCACTCAAAAAGTTGAGGGTAGATCTCATATGAAGTGTTGTTACAATAAAACAAAACTTTAAAAATTAAGGTCCTAAATCTCAGCTACCTCTCAACACTCAGCATCCTATTCAACCTTAGTAATTTGGTCCATTTGCACTGAAGTTGTTCTAAACTTTATTACTATACAGAAGCCCTCCACTACTTACTCTTTCATTCATTTTACTCTCAGCAGACTAGCTCATCTCCTGAGTTACAGAGTCAAGTAGGAACATTAGTCTTAATCTTCCTTAACCTTCTTCTTGACTCCCAAACCTCTATTTTTACCCATATTCTCCCCTTGGATTCTGAACTTACAAACACTGCCCTCCTCCCAAGAACTAACATCTTTCACTACACTACAGGCTTAGTGCTGTGCACATAATTAATCACGCTTGTATGCTTCCTCAAATACACTGTGGCTTCTATGAGGGCAGGTTACTGTCTCATATACATTCCTGACAATTCGCAGCAGTTACTTATAAATATCTGTTAAATAGTTCATGTTGTGGATTAGAAAACTCTTTAGAAAATAAAAGTTACCAGCATTAATGAAAGAAAAAAGAATCAAACAGGGTCCAACAGGATAAAAACCATCACAATCAACAGCCTGATAATTACTAGCTATGTATATAAGTATCTTTAGTTACCAATTCATTGTCAGAAGAAAAAAAAATACATTATCCCCCCAAGTGCTAACTTCAGTTGAAAAAAGTAAGGCCCCCAAAAAACTTTGGTGTGATTCTTAATTTCAATGAGGTATGCTGATCATATAAAAGGTGGTAAATTCAGATAACACCAACCTTTCTTCTGTGCACTCTGGCTTCTCTGTCCCATCAATCTCAATTTCTATCAGCTCTTCTGCTTCTCTTTTTGTCATGGTTGAAGTGTTTCAAAAGCTCAGCCCTGTAAGAGTTAAATTTTAAGACATTTTGAAATTATCTGCACAAACAAATGCTACACAAGTAGAGACTCAATTCAAATAAAAGCAGAGGGCAAGTAGAAGAGGAAGAAGTAATTTTCACAATAAAAGAAAATGCACAAATTATATTGATAAACCATAGCTTTTGTTAGATTGTGCTTACTACTTTGACATGAACCCTTCAGTATTCTATTGGACTTATTGGGATTTCTTTTCAGCCAATCTTAGTTAAGTAAATTAACTTGACTTACTCTAAAATCAAGTGAAAGGTTATGTCAACTATATTACAGCAACTTCAATAAGATTCAAATCTGCAGCTTAAAAAAAATCAACATGGAGATGAAGCACAATTGTTCAGCTAAAAGCTGTACTCTATTAGAATAAATAATGTACTTTATTAGCACTGTACTGATAAAGTGGTATAAAATTAAGATTAATCGTAGTTATGATTTGTGTTACAAATTACAGTATTTTGTAAGTGCCAGTATAATATTCTAAAATAGCAAAATAAAGTAACCAAATAGTTATCAATTTGCACTTTATTATAGTAATTCATTACTGTAGAACTAGGAAAGTAATACAGTCTTCCACTTTAGAAAGGCCTGTACCTCTCCCTAGGTGTCAACATCTCCAACTACTGGGAAGCTGGTTTTCTGACAACTTAGTCCAGAATTAGCTGGCATCCAAATCTAGACGGCCTGGTACAAATATGGTCTGATTTTTCCCATGTTATTAAGGTTGTTTTTACATGTCCCCTATAAGAAGGAAGAGGGCGAGGTTCTGCACTAGAATATACACCATGCACGTCCAGCAGACTTTTGTTTGGGATAATGAAAGAATGAAAACTTTTCTTTTCTCTGACCCTGGTCTAGTAAGTCTTTTCTTTCTCCAGTGAAGTCTATTCCTGAAGACACTAAGTGTAAAACTGTGGAATTCATTCTGAGCACTACAGAAAAACAGGTGGTGTCCTGTAGGACAACATCAGGTCCACCTGGTTAAAGGCTTACTTGTTTTTTATAGATGTACACAAAATATTTTGAAAAGTACCTCACCCTTAGTAGGCACTCTATCAAACTGTGTTGAAAAAAAAATACTGTAAGAACTATCACACACCATATATGAGTATCTTCAACAGATAGGCTATAGAGTGAAAAAAGGTATTTCCAATATGTAAGTGACAAGAGAATAATAACTGGAATAGGCAGTAAACTCCTGCAAACTGATAACCCCTCAAAAGTCAGAAAAAAATAGAAAGGCAGGTAAAGCACAGCAGAAGGAAATACACAAAAATAAAAACCAAAATGGCTAAGGATATGAAGATATGTTCAGATTCAAATCATTCAAAAATGCAATGCAAAACAAGGAGCTACCACTTTATACCATGTGTATGTGGAAAACCAGAATGCTGAATACTGAAAAGAATTAGCAGGGACAGGAGTCCTCTGCCTCTGCTCATAGAGTACAGGCAGGTTGGGTTATCCTAGTGTTGCTTATAAGCATCGAGGATGCTTATACCTATGACACAGCAGTGTTGCCCTTGGACCAGCATTTCAGGGTCTCACAGTAATGGGTAGGGATGTTCAGAGAAGCTCTGTTGGTGAGAGCTGAAGGCTGCAGTCCATGGGAAAGTATCCGTGGTAGGAAAGCATTGCCATACAAGAAAACATGAAGGAGGCACACACCGTGGAACTTTAGTAGTACTGAAGTTAAAAAGAAGGAAGTAATGTATATGCACACACACACAAAATCATAAAAACTGTTGTATACTGAAAAAAAGTGAGAAACAGTAAGGTTTACAGCAAAACAGAACTTTAAAAGATGTTTATGTTTTATTTTCAGGTCCTGCAAGGAGGTCTACTTTCCTCTCTGTAACAAATTAAAAAAAAAAAAAAAAAGATTAGAAAACAAGTGAATTTTGGAAAATATAAAAAAGCCTAGAGGAACTAAGCAGAGGCTGAGAAATGGCCCTGAAGGTTACGTGCAATTCCCCACAATATAACCACTAAACAGGAGAATGCTGAAGAAAAATGCATCCTGTCATCTTCCAAAAAAGTTATATATAGATTGGTCCCTAGAAGGTGCCAGATAAAGAACCCCAAATACTTTAGGAAAAAATACTCATGGACTCTAAATTGATCCCTTTCTCTTTCTCTCTCAGTTCTTTAAATTTAGCTTTGAAAGCAAGAAAGAGATTTGGAAAATTGCCCAAATCTTTGATATTACAACTTGAGTGGATTTTAGCTCTTTTACTGGAACCAGGATTCTTTTTCAAAACTTCAAACGGAGAAGAGAACATTGATTGGAGCCGTTCCCTCAAAGGGTTGGTCCAGACACCCTGGTTTCTTTAGATTCAGTCTAACCTGGGGTTCAGAAAGCGTCACAAAATGGATATAGACTAATTTTTAATTAGTCCAGAAAAGATGAGTGTTCCTTAAAACAGGTATATTTAATATTCTCTTTTAGAGTCACAGTTAAACTTGAGGATTTTCTTTTTCATTGGAACACATTTTCCCAATATTTATATGTAATATAAATCTATCTTTAACAATATATATTAAATACATACCATGTAAGATATGTATTTAATATAAATATATAAGTACAATCTGGGAGTACCTACCTCATCGCACATTTTCTCAAACTACAAAAAAAACCACGTTTAAGTACCAGAAAAAATTAAAGAAACATTTTTGTTTTTAAAAATAAAGTCAGCAGTTAAGAAAACATAAAACACATGTATTTGTGTGTGTCGGGGGGGAAGCAAGTGTAGAGAAAGATTATCAACTGGTTACCTTCCCTCCTACTCGGTGAAGATGTTCACTGTATAATTTTATTGTTTAATTTTTCTACTTTCTTATAGATTTGAAGTTTTATATAAAAGTTGGAGGGATGTAAATAGTTTTAATGTAGTATTCAGCCCCCAAATGCATTTATGAGTAGCCTCAATACAGCCCCTAGCTCAGTATTTTTTTTCTTACTTCAATACTATGCATCCCTTGTAACACATAGTCCTGTATAAGCAATCCAGGTGTAATTGACTTAAGTCCACCTAGTGTCAGAGTATGTCTGAAAATACATCAGCTAGGAACGTCTGGATCAAACCCTGAGAGGGGGATTCCCTTTACGTAGTACTAGTACGCAAAGAGCCGATCAGTGTCTTCCGAAGTGTAAGATAACACGGTACTAAGAACGTTATCACTGCCCAGTTCTCCACTTGCTCCAGTGAGCCCTTCTAAATCTTTGCTCCTCCCACGGGCCAGACTCACTGCGTGTATTTCTAAATCACGACTCATTATCTTGCAATGCAGTGCGAGGCAGTCTTCCCTGCCGTTAACCTAATCAAACTAGGATCCCTAAATACAAACACGCGAAAACAGCTTATCTCCCAGCACACAACAAACTTAAAAAGTTGGCAAACTATATTAACTCATCGTTTTCCCCATGTCTTAATGCCTCCCTTTTTAAAATAAACCCAATGGACTCTACATACACTAATAAATGGCTGTGATGCAACTACGGGGCAATTCTGGGAAAAAAACCCAACGGGATTTGAAGTGAGAGCGAATCGCTGAGTCGCCAGACTAGTTTTACATTGTCCTTTGAAATCCCGGAGCGTCAGGATCACATCCTGAGCGTGGACACTGAGGACCAAGGCGGACAGTCGCCTAGGGAACAGTGAGGGAAAAGAGCGGCGAAAGGTGACAGGAACAGCCCGGGCCCCGTGGGCGCGCGGCTTCCCAGAGCCCGGCGCCGCGCGCCCCCCGCCCCTCCCCTCCCCTCCCCTCCCCGCACAGCCTCCCTGCCCCTCCCCACCCGGCTCCCTCAAGTCTCCACGAACGGAAATGGGAGTCACAGCGCCGGGGACCAGCGGAAACAAAACACAGAAGCGGCTGCGGGGGGGCCGCTTTGGGGAGAAGGCCCCGGAACGAAGCCGGCCCGCGCGGGCCCGCGCTCCCCTCCTCTCCGCGGCCACACTCACCCGCTCCGGAATCGACCCGGTCGCCCCGCCCGCGCTCCAGAGCCGGCAGAGAACAGCAGTGGCACGAGCTCCACGTGCAGCGTCTCTCCGGTAAAACCTGCAGCTCCCGCGACTCGAAGTGTGAGGCCCCTGGGCCCTTCCCGCGGAATCGGCTTAGAAACTCCAAACCCCCTCCCGCCTCCCAGGCACCCTCGGGTCCAGGACTACAACTCCCAGCAGGTTGCGCGAAACGAACGCCCGAGGCAACGGAGGCTCACGAGGCACAAAGGAGCACAACGCCCCAGCCCGCTTTGTTTTACACTCTTGTCACTTTGTCCGTACGTTCATACACCTCAACAACCCAAAGCACAGGACTGCTGACTCGGGGAGGGAGGGACTCAACTAAGGGACAGGCCTGTGAAGTGCGCATGCGTACACAGTAAGGTTTCCAAGAGGAAAAAAAAGATCAAATTAGGAGGACAAAAGATGGCGGAGGACTCGCTAGGGGACCCGGAAGCACTTACCCTCTACTTCCTCTTCTTTGCCTTCTACCTCACCTAGAGCCGTCCGGTCGCGGACTGTCTCCGAGACGCTTCCTGTCCGGTGAGTGCCGACCGACTGAAACGGCAGCCCATAATGCATTGCGATGGCGGGTAGGCGGGTGGGGGCGGAGCCAGGGCCGGAAGTAGGACGGTGGCGGCGGTGGCGGCTCTGGCAGCTCCGGACTGAGTGCAAGGTGATTGGGAGGGTAGCTGGACTTGCTGGGCCTCTTAGAACACCGATTCACAATTTGTTCACGGGCTTGGGCTGCCTAGTACCTCTGCCCTTCATGAGAAAGCAGTTTTCTTGCCCGGGCACCTTCACGGCCTGGCCCGAGGTCACTGCGGATCTTGGCACTTTTAGGCCTTGAAATTTGCCCTTGGCTCGATGTGTATAGCCTTGTTAATGTAACACCCCCTCTGAGGGCAAGCGGGGGTGGTGCGGATTGCACGGACGCGGGAGTTTCGTGGGCCCGCAATCGGGCTGGGGCAGCCCAAGGTCATGCTCGTGGGGCAGGTCTGCAGCCAGGCCTGGCCAACCTGGGCGTGCGGGAAATTGTTCTGAACTGTTTAAAGCAGAACATGCCCCATGACAGGTAAAAGAGTGGTAGCCAACTTAAAATTTTGCAACCCACTTAAAAATGTCGATAGTGCTAAAACATGGTTAGACAGAAGTGTCTTTATACACTTACTTTCCTTGCACAGCCCTACATCTCAACAGTCCTAAGCTGCGTGGGGCGGAGGGGGTGCTTGAACTAGCAGAGAGGCCAGAGTGCGCGTGCGAACACGAGGTTTCCAGGAGGGAAAGAGGATCAGATAAGCACATTGTGAATTGACTTCGAGGATATGCTTTGAAGAGGCAGAGAAAGGACTGTCCTTTTGGCAGGTCAGTCATCACTGTAAACAGGAGAACCATGCTGCTTCTGCGCTTGCTGTACCCTTTTCTTGTTGCCTTCCCTGATCTTTTCTATGTCAAATCTCTGTCACGGCCTCTTGTGACAGTCCATAGTACTGGAATAGAGAACTCATCGCAGTTGGGATTTTGACTCCTCTTTGTGTAATACCGTGTCTTCAGCGGGCCAGTGGACAGCCCACACTCACTATATATTTAATCAATGGTAAAAAATGAAAAGGGGGATAAAGAAAAACCCGGTTTTGATAGATTATGTGTTCATTTTTTAAACAAGTTGAATTTGAGGGCCCTAAAGGACTTACTAAGGGATGTGAGCTGTTGTATGTATAAGTTAGAATTTCAGGAAAAAGAATAAAATTAGAGATGTGTTTTGGGAATCATTAGTACTTAGATGATAGAAATCGAAAAAATGAAAATGGATTTTACCCATGTTGCCATAGGAATAAGATGATTTTTACAATCAGAGCAAATTAACTGTGGGACTATGAGCAATTTAATAACCTTCCTTAGAGCTTTATTACCTGTAACAAAGAAGTAAAGAAGTAAGAGCACCTTGCTTTAATTCTTAAGGGGAGTGCCATAAGGGTGCAAGGACAGACTATATGAGGTCAGTCCAGAAGGTATCCAGCCATGTCATATGAAAAAGAGACATTTATTGAAGAAGATCCAAGAAACACTGTACATAGCACAATGATGCTTCAGTCCCCTTTAAAGTAGGGACCTTGGGACCTCACACAGTTCTCCCAGTTGCCATCAGCTGCCCCATCATATTTTCCTGAATCTAATCAATGGTCTGAAATCTCTTCCCTTTCAAAGGTGATTATAGTTTTGGGAAACGCCAGAAGTCACAGGGTGCCAAATCTGGGCTGTAGTAGGGCTGAATCACCTGGGTGATTTGATGTTTCACCAGAAACTCTGCACAAGATGTTATGCGTAAGCAGGTGCATTGTTGTGATGAAGCTGCCAATCACCAGCTGCCCATAGCTGCGGCCTTCTGAATCATCGAAATAGTTTCCATGGAGGAATGTTCAAGTTTAATGCAAAATTCAATGCAGATTTGTTGCTGTACTTGCTCAGTCATTTCGAATGGGAGAGCCACCCAGTACACATGCTCACTCAATAGCATTTACCACCCCCACTGACTAGTGCAGTGAAGTCATTGTTTACGCATACACATTCCAGTCCACTTTCCTTGGCTACCAAGTTACATAGATGTGCAAGCCATTCTTGTTATATTAACAATGGCTGGACTTTTTCTGGATACACCTTGTAGATGAAAGTACTTTATGAAATACCTAGGGCTGAACAAACATTAGATAACCTTATTGCTGAGTGTTAAGCATGTCCTTAAGTTGCCAGAAAGGAATATACACATTGAGTTGCATGATTTTAAAAATATGTTTGTGTCCGGTCAGGTTCTACCTTGGACTAGGTACTTACCTCTAAACCTCAGTTTCTGTATGTGTAAAATGGGAATGGTAATACGGAGCAGCTTAAGGTCATTTGTTGTTTGCGTGGAGTCTTTTCTCATGTATTTTTCTCTGATGTGGTATAAGAGTGGTATATGATGAATTATTTAATTTCTTCAAATAGTTTGCTTTCATCCTGGCAGGGGAGAAGGGTATTTTGTTGATGTATAATTCCTTTTGGTAGTTTCTATATGCTATTTCAGGGTTTCTCCACCTTGCCACTATTGATATTTTGGACCAGACAGTTCTTTGTTGTGGGAAGGCTGTTGTTGCTACAGGATGTTTGGCAGCATGCCTGGCTTTTACCCACTAGATGTCGGTAACACGCCATTAGGAAAAACCAAAAATGTCTTTAGACATTGCCAAACACCTCACCCCTATTTGAGAACTGTGCTACTCTACTCTCCTGTAGGTTAGTGCTTCTCAGACTCAGTGGTAAAGGACTCCCCACCCCAACCTTTGTGGATACTTTTGAAGAATACAATACAAATGAATTACCAGAAAAATTGTACAAAAGACGAAACAATGAAGACATACAAAATACAAACATTAATTTTTTGATAAAGTTAATATGCCAAATTGCTCAAAAGTTTCTAAATGCTTATTCCCAATTTTTGTATTAACGTTAGACCAGTGACAGTTTGTATACTACCACTGGTCCACAGGCCAGAGTTTGAACAGCAGTAGTATAACTTAATGGAGTCCAGTGTCAGCGTGACAGTGACTATTGTTGTTATTGTTTTGTTATTGTTAGGTAATTTGCCGGGGGGCGGGGGGGAGGAATCGTGTTAGCGTTAGCATGTAAAGTTTTCCCTTTATCTTTAAGGTTCAGAAATTTTACCAGGCTGTATTGCGGTGTGACTCCCGTCATCGGTCTAACGCACAGTCTGATAAGCCCTTTCACTGTAGTGGAATCACCCTTTCTTAATCTGAGGGAGTTTCTCCTAATTATGTCTTCCTTTTCTTTTGGAATTCCTGTTTTCATATATTTGTCATAGTTTGGATTTTTTTTTTTTTTGCCTTTGATCTTTCAAGACACTAAATGAGGTCTCAACTGAGATCATCCCCTAATTTATCTACTGGAATTTTTACTTAGAAAATTATGTCTCTTAGCTTCAACAAGTCTAAGGACTTGAAAGTCTTAAAGTCCTTATTTTTAAAAATCAGACTTTCATCTCCTTTCCAAATTCTAACTCGTTAATTCAGATGTACTGCATGGTTTTCTTTCTTTTGTTGGGAGGTTTCCTTGCTGGTTCTTTTGGACTTAGATTTGCAGTTGTAATGGGCAGAGCAGTTTCTCCCTGTGCGAGTCTGTGAAGTAAACCCTTACAGGTTGTCAATCCTGACTGAGGCAACTGTCTCCAATGACCCTGCCCAGCTCTCCTTTGAAGGGTCAGGGTTGTTTTTTCCTGCTGCTGGTGGGCAGTCTTCTAACATTCTAGCTGACTTTCCCCTGATCCTAGACTACATTCATGGAGAAGAAACACCCCACTCTGTGTGCCGAGCTTTCTGCATGTGGCTGCTGGGGCTGCAACAGGCCTGAGTTCCTAGCCGCTTCTAGGTCACTGGAACTTTTGGTTGAGTAGTGAAACTTGCAGTGGGCAGGGGAGGGCGGTATGGAGCTGGGGTCAGCTGACTGTCAGCGCTGACTCCATTCTGGTGTGCTTGAAGTTCTGTAGCAATGAAGAGAATTAGATTCCCACTATGTGATGTACTTAGAGGTATTTTACAGTCGTATACATATTAAAGTATATTAACATTCTGGTGCTTGTTTTCAGTCACAGAATCGCCATGATTCTCCAGAGGCTCTTCAGGTTCTCCTCGGCCATTCAATCTGCGGTCTCAGTCTATCTGAGGAGGAATATTGGCATGACAGCAGTGGCATTTAAGGAGCTTGATCCTGTACAGAAACTCTTCGTGGACAAGATTAGAGAATACAAAACTAAGCGACAGTAAGTGGGTAGATAATCAACCATGATGTAAATATAAATGATCAAAGTATGTAAGTTTTGGGGTGGTAATAAAATTAGTTATTTGGTGTTTCAAAGTGTCTAAGACCTTCACTGAGCTGATCCCTGGCGTAGAGGTTCATCAGTGTGTCAAAAGAAGGAAACAAGATCGAGTCCCAAATTTACCTTTTTTACATGGGCTTCAAGGCAGAATCCCATTAAATATATTGTTATTTTAGATACGTCTGTATTCTAATGTCATTTGTTATAAACTAGAGTCAATTTGTAGAGGTACGAAGGATCTTGGAAATCATTAAGGAACTATACAGTAGTTCCCCTTTATCTGTGGTTTCACTTTCTGGGCGTTCAGTTACCTGTGGTCAACCAGGGTCCAAAAATATTGAATGGAAAATTCCAGAAATAATTCATAAGTTTTAAATTGCAGGTCATTCTGAGTAGCATGAAGAACTCTCTCACTGTCCTGTGTTGTCTGGCCTGGGATGCGAAACACTTGTTTGTTTAGTGTGTCTGTGCCGGGTTCTCTACCTGCCGTTTAGCCCCTTCACAGCCATCTTTACTGTTTCATCAGTTGTCAGAGAGACCACATTCACAGAACCTTTGTCAAAGTATATTGTTATAGTTATTCCATTTTACCATCGTTGTTGATCCTTACATCCTGATTTTAGGGAAATGTATAAACAGCGTTTTTTCTTTAATTTTTTTCTTATTCTTACATATTTCTCGGTATATCAAAAGACAGAAGACTCTGAAATGGTATAAAGCAAGTCCAGGAAAAACATGATTACAGTACCACTTTGGAGATGAATAATGACCTTAGTCATCATCAAGTTCAACCCACAAGTCTTTGAAAAAGTGGTATACATCAGTTCCTAATTCCTTTTTTTTTTAAGATTTTACTTATTTCTGGAGACGGGAAGGGAGGGACAAAGTGAGGGGGAGAAACATCAATGCGTGGTTGCCTCTGTATGCCCCCAGCTTGGGACCCGACCCACAACCCAGGCATATGCCCCCATCAGGAATCAAAACTGGTGACCCTTTGGTTCGCAGGCTGACACTCAATCCACTGAGCCGCAACAGCCAGGGCCTAGTTCCACTTTTTAAAAAATTTAGTTGTCTACCATGTGCAAAGCACTGGGCCATGAATTGTGATGGGCCACAAAGAAAGAAGCCATACTGCATTTACACAATATTCTTAATATCTGCTAAGGGTAGAAAGTTTGTAAGCAAGTAGATATACTGTAAGGTAAGACGGGCTAGATGTTGACTGAGAGAGTGGCGCATTCAGTGTTTGGGGCGTTCATAGGAAAGTTATGCTTCTTTCCAGCTAGGAGCATTTTAGAAGGCGTCTTAGAAAAGTGAAGGTTTTATCTGGGATTTGAAGGCAGTGTTGGAGGTCATCCATCCCTCTTGAGAATTTCATGGTCACCTATGTGTAATCTTCCCACTTGAAAAAAAAAAGTGAAGAATTTACTCACATGATTTTGCTTATAGCGTGAAAGGGTTCTCAGGCCCACAGAAGGCCATTCATGGACAGTCCCAGCAGGGGTCTACCTGAGGTTACGAACAACTGGTGTGAAGAGTGGACAGATAAATGGGGCTGGGAGGAGGATGTCTTTAGGAGGAAAGAGTGATGGGAGCTAAGGTATGAAAACTAGAAAGCCTATTTAGGAAATTGTGTGATGCTGTATCCCAAGGCTGCAGGGTATGAAGAGCATAGGGAGCAGTAAGGGTAGAATGGGATTAGAATGAGAGATTATCAAAGGCCTTGATTATAGACTGAACAATTAAAATATTTTTTTTAAAGATTTTATTTATTCATTTTAGAGAGGGAAGGGAGGGAGAGAGAGAGAGAGAGAGAGAGAGATCAATGTGCGGTTGCTGGGGGTTATGGCCTGCAACCCAGGAATGTACCCTGGTTGGGAATTGAACCTGGGACACTTTGGTTCCCAGCCCGTGCTCAATCCACTGAGCTACGCCAGCCAGGGCTAACAATTAAAATATTATATGAAAGGCATTTATGAGAAGTAAAAGTTGTTTGAGCAGGATGGTGAGGTGGAACAAGATGGCTCTGTATTAGGAAGATAATTTTAATCACGGTGATTAGGAAAATTGGGATGAGAAAAGAAGGAAGATAGACAAGTTAGAAAAATGTAATAATATACCCTGGCTGATGTGGTTCAGTGGTTTGAGTGCGAGCCTGTGGACCAAAAGGTCACTGATTCAGTTTCCCGTCAGGGCACATGCCTGGGTTGCGGTCAGGGGAGTGCAAGAGGCAACTAATCTATGTGGCTCTCACACATGTTTCTCTCCCTTTCTCCCTCCTTTCCCCTCTCTCTAAAAAAATAAATAAAATCTTAAAGAAAGAAAAATGTTATGATGTAAGCATTGGTTGATGAGAAGCTTGTCTTTACTGGAGTGGGACTATAAAAGTGACAATCAGAACACTGCGAGTTTTGAGACTGGGCCACTAACAAGGTTTGTTGTTACTGGAACTAAGGAGGAAGAGGGTGAAGGGATTAAAATGAAGACAGTATTAGAAATGCACAACCTTATTCATGGTGGCCCCATTTCATACATGAGAAAACTAAGGCTAAATATTTAGAATTTGCCTAAAATCACACTGTTCAGTAAGCAGGTGTACAGGATGGTGGGGAACTGGAGTGTCTTCTGTCCGGGGGTATTGTGGCATCGTAGTATTAACGCTCTTTGCACTTTAACTGTCCTTAAAAGCTGGTCCAGTGAGAAGTCAGTGCTTAGGTATGCTCTGAACCTAAGGAGTCTGGTTCATTTGTTTGTGCAGGCAACAGCGTGCAGTGTTCTGAGCATGCATGCTGGGCTGGGGTCCAGCTCTGCCACCTACTAGCTCTATGACCTTGGGCAGGCTATTTAACCTCTGTGCCTCAGGTTCCTCATTGTAAGATGGGGATGATAATAACCATCTGCATCACAGGATGTTTGAAAGAGTAAGGGTTCAGTAAATTAGCATGCCTGGTGTTTTCTTTTTAAGTGAAATAAATAAATCTCCCTTGAGTTTCTGCTGTAACCCTGTCACCATCTAGAGCAAGACAGGCTGGGCGTCTTATAGTCAGTTGAGGAGTTAGAGTATGTGTGGTTCCTTTACATCACAAGCGTACATATTAAAGTTGTAATAGCCTCCACCTAGCAGTAACCAGTCCATTGGTGAGACTGGCTGGATCTTCTCAAAGCAGTTTCTAAAACTTGTGGATCCCAGAGCTGGAAAACAATACACCAGAGTATGTGGTTGAAGGCTTCATCAAGAACTGCATTGTGTATGTATTTTAGTGAAGATTCACGTGCTACTGTTTAAATTCTAATGAATTGTAATTAAACTTAAGTAAAAATTGTTTCTCAGCCACTTAGCCACATTTCTCATGCTAATAGTGGCTAGTGGCTACCATATTAGACAGCAGAGATATAGAGCATTTCTGTCATCAGAGAAAGTTTTAGTAAGTTCTTAAATTAGAGCTCTCTTGTGCCCTGGCTGATGTGGCTCAGTGGATTGAGTGTCAGCCTGTGAACCAACAGATCGCTGGTTCGATTCCCAGTCAGAGCACATGCCTGGGTTGTGGGCCAGGTCCCCACTGTGGGGTGCAAGAGGCAGCCACACACTGATGTCTCTCCCTCTTGTTCTCCCTCCCTTCCTGTCTAGAAATGGATGGAGTCTTTGAAGGAAAAAAAAAAAGCTATTTCTATTTTTTTTTAGTGAAAACTCTGCAACATAAGTAAGACCCTATGCCTTTATTATAGGCGTGTGTGAAAATATTACCCTTGATGGAATTTTCACTTTTTGTAAATCTTTTTGTCGTTCATAAACAGGCAGGCAGTAACATGACAAACACAGAAGAGTTTGTGCAGAGAATTAAGTAAATGTAATTGGCCTCATTTCCAGTCCATGGTGCTATATTTACTTTCCCAGAGTGCATCTCTAATTTTGTCACTTTATTGTGTAGCAAATAAAATACAAACTCCCAGGCTTAACATTTCAGGCTTCCCACGATCTGGGCCCTGCTGGCTTTCCATCTAAACTGCTTAATAGTCCCACATAAAGCCAGCGCTTTAGCTCCTCCACATCTTTGCTCTTCAGTCTTAGAATGTCTCAAATTAAAACCTGTCCCAAATGCATGATTTATCACAAACGTCATTTTTTAAATGAAAATTTTTTTTCTGATTAGCTTAGCAAAAGTGCTATCTCCTCAACTTGGGTAGCTTTTTGTTAAACCATGCCTTTGAAGCTATCACATAACTCCCTTACAGCATAAATATTTATGAATAGGTTATTTTTTTCTTCTAAATGGCAGAACCTCTCGGGGTAGGAAGTGATTTTGGTTTTGTGAACTGGTTCACAAGATGGGTTTTCGCCTGCTCGTTTCCAGGTCGTCTGGAGGACCCGTTGACACTGGCCCAGAGTACCAGCAGGACTTGGAGCGGGAGCTGTTTAAGCTCAAGCAGATGTTTGGGAAAGCGGACATGAATGCGTTCCCTGACTTCAAATTTGAAGGTAAGTCTCTTTAGTCACGGATTCGTTCTTGTGGAGATCGTTTTAGGAGGAAAATAAGTGTACTTATCTGGATATTTGAGAGGGTAAATGTCAGTTAGACGCGGATTGAGTGGGACAGGGATGCACGCGTGGGAATCTCCGGGACTAGTGTCCGCCATCGGTGCAGGGGATCATGGAACGTGGAGGTTAAATGGTGCGGCTCTGAAATCAAACGCCCTGGTCTTGCGTCCTGACAGTATCACTTAGGAGCTGCGTGATCTCAGGTAGATAACTGGTACCTGTTTCCCACCTACATTAGGGGAGAATTATGTCTTTCCCATGTGGCTGTTCTAATAACAAGATATATGTACAGTCAATGGCCTGGCTCGTAGTAAATGCTGAATGATTCTTTGGCAATTGTTACATTTCCCTACAGATGTTTAGAAACAGCAGATATTCACTAAAAACAATCAGAAGATCAATGAATTAAATATTGAAGTCTTCTCAATAAGGCATTTCATTGCAGCATGGCTAAGCTAACTTTTTTTCCTCTTCTTAGATCCCAAATTTGAAGTCATCGATAAACCCCAGTCCTGAAGAAATGTAAAGTTTATCTGGTAATTTTCACTCGATAAGTTGTGCAAGTGGTCAGAAGTACCGGAATAAACATACATTTCAACAGCTGTCGGATGTTCTTTAATTCTGATTCCAAATAAATTATTTGATGATGTTGGGTGTATGCTTGAGTGCATTGGATTCTGTGTCTTAACATTGTTTTTAAACCTTCTCGTTTGGCTATAACAAAGCAGATGGAGAACTTGGATAAACCGGGTACACTTGCGTACACCCTGCGAGACTCCTCTCTGTATGCAGGGCCTCCTTTCCGCTGTGGAGACTTGCTGCCCGAGGGGAGCCACCTGGCCTCAGGGGTGTCTGCCGCTGAGGGACGCCACACTAGAATGTAAAGACGCAGTTTCTAAATCCTTCATCCCAGGCCTTTCAGGAAATTCGGGTGTCATTTTGAAGGTCCTCTGTGTTTTAAGTTCCATCTCCTCCAATAGTAAATGCCCTTTCCGTAGGAACCCAGGTCCCTCCTCTTCCCTTAGAGTTTGTGGTCGTCGCCTATTGCAGTGTACAGAGGGGGAGGGGAAGCCGAGGGCCGGTGGAGAGGGCTCCAGCAAAGGAGAGTCCCTTGTGAAGATCGAGCTGCGTGGTGTGGTTTTGCCCAAGTGATGGAGCATCCAGCAGCCATGCGCTGGGCAAGTGGCATAGCAGGCACGTCGAAATCTCGGTAACTAGAGAGCTCTCACGCTGTAAAGCAAAAGGAAAAACAGCCATACCTTTTCATATCTGACAGTCTTTCTGCCTTGTGGCAATAAATCCGGGTCCTAATAAACCTTTAAAGGTTTTCTTTAAAAATGTGAAGTCAGAAACAGCCTTCGTTATGGGTTTAGTTCACTTCAGAAAAGGAATATATTTTTACTATGCCGTGCCATACTGAGAAATTTGTTTTTCAAAAGATCCACAAATATTTTCTAGTGGTATAGGTAGGAAGAGAGTCCAATTTTCAAATGAAGCTAAGCAATGACAGACAGTTCAGTTGAACTACTTTTATTTGCATAACTGTAGGCATTGAAACAGAAGGTGATGTGTAGTTATGGCTCCCTTTAGAAGCGGCCAGGTGCTCAGGTCCTTCTCTGGCCTCCCCTGAATAAGTCTTCCCCAGCACCCGGGCAGACAGGCCGCCTGGGCTCCGCAGGGCCAGCCTCGGGAAGGAGGGGCTGACCCTTTCAGTGCGTGCTTCACCTCCTTTTCTGTCTCCCTCCCTCCCCTACTCAGTCGAGTTGGGTTTTACCTTTTATAACCTCACACTTGTTTTTTTTTTTTTATGCAATCTTTTTATCTGTCTTGCAACTAATGAAGTTTGCTTGAACATCCCAATCTCTTCATTCATTATGTAAACAGAAGGATTCTATTTGGGAGTGATGGCAAGAATACTATCCAAAGTACCCCACTCCTGTGCTCTACATCACGGGACCATGCATTTATAGTACGTTCTGCCAAGGAAGTGCTCTCTCTTTTCCAGCTGAGTGCTGTGGTGGTGCTTTGAGTCCTGGCTGTTGCCTCACCTTCCTCAGGCCCCTCCCTCTTTCTGGTGAGACTGCCCCAACTGCACACTCCAGCCTTTACCTGTCACTGCAGCACTGGTGCCTTCTCACCCTGCACTGACCATTTGGGACCACCTTGTGTGTTTATAGCAAATGACCTCAACCTTTTACGCTTTTAGCTGTTTAAAATGGCTTTTTTTTTCTCCCATGCCAGGTGTTACGGGCTAAATTGTGTTCTAAACTACATTGAAGCTGAAACCCCTGGAACCTCACAATGTGATTATATTTGGAGATAAGATTAAGTTAAAATGAGGCCGCTGGGGTGGGCCGGAACCAGTCTGACTGCTGTCCTGGAAAGAAGAGATTTGAATTGAAGGGGGGTGCAGAGCACTGGAAAGGGACACGCGTCTGTTGGTCAGCCAGTGCTGCCTTTAGTAACAACCACCGAGGGCTTCTGACCGAGGCTAGCTGTGCTGATTTACACTGATTCAGTTTCGGACTTCGTTTGTTTTTAACTGTCACTGTTCTCAACTGTTGCTGCTCGTGGTGTTGCAGGCCTGTAAGTGCCAGCTTTCGAGGACGCCTACTCGTCACCGGAAACACCTTTGCCCAAGAAATCATGGGAAAATGGGAGCTTCACTGCCCCTGCTGTCGTCCTTGATATCTTGTCTCCAACTCTCGCCCTGCTCGAAGAACTATGTCCTTCTTGGCAGGTGCCTTCAACGTTTGGAAGTGATTTTCTTTAAAATTCCCATTTGTGTTAGGAGTAAGCTGGAGAATAAAATTCAATTTTGACAAACTCGTTCTCACGCAATTTGGACAGTTCATTCTGTCTTTCCTTTCCTCGTCATTGGCAACCCGTCCACACACACTTCAGTACTCATGGACTTGTGTGTTGGGGTAAAGGGCAGGTGACAGGGGTAATGATTTCAGTGCAGCAGCACTGTCTCTATGAACACTGAAGGGAGTATTTGTACCCAAATGAAGGTGTTCTTTAGAAAGGTAGTGTATTTGTCTTCAGTCTTCAGGCAACAGAGAACGTCCCAGTCAACATTCTGTTACATGAATATATTTTTATGCATGAAACTTTACTAATTGTCTTTGATGTATATAATTCTAAAATTTAGAAAAAGATTTCTTGACCTATAGCGATTTCAGTATAATTCATGGTAGTGCAATATTCGGAAGGAAAGTGAGTTCGAGAACGGAAAGTTAAGTGGCAGGGGCAACATAAGAAATCCAACTACAGATCTTAGAAATTCTTAAATCTTTACCACCTTTAAGACGCACTTAAAAATGAGGGGGAAAAATGCAAAAAAGGTAAAAAGCACTTAAAAGTACATTCAATGTTAAAAACAAAAATGGAAGTTTAAAGCAGTTGAGAGAAGTTCAACAGGTCCTTTGTTGATAAAAGTATTCACTTGTTTTTTTATTTGTTTTAAATTTATTTTTAGACAGGGAAAGGGAGGGAGAGAAAGGGTGAGAAGCATCAATGTGTGGTTGCCTCTCAAGCGCCCCCTACTGGGGTCCACAACCCAGGCATGTGCCCTGACTGGGAATTGAACTGGCAACCCTGTGGTTCATAGTCTAGCGCTCAGTCCACTGAGCCACACCAGCCAGGTCATCAAGTCAATGCTTTAAATGGTGTGAGGGAAGGGTCTAGATTTAGTTTTTGAGAGCATTTTCTTAGAAAGTAGGAAGATATTTTATATTCTAATATGTCTTAATTAGTACATTTAAGAAATTTGGTCAAATAAAAGTATGGCATATATTTAAAAGTAATATTAAAGAGAAAGCATCAACAAATAAGAATTATGGTTTACCTGGAATTTCCTGACCAGTTGTAACTACTAAAAGTGTCTCAATCCCTTAAAAACAAGAAATATAGGATGGAAAATGAAATTTTAAAACTTGAAAATTGGAAAAATAAGTGGTCTTTTAAAGAACTACGTGGAAATGGATGCCTAACTAAAGAGTAGGACAAGAACATAATTTCTGTTCAGGCTTGATTCATGGAACAATAATTTGGGAACTTTGCATAAAATACATGAGTGATTGTAACTGTAGAATACAATGTTTTCTTAATATTCTAACTAACTCTTTAGAGAAATTTTATTAATAAGTATTCTTTAAATTGCCCTTTCATTGAGCATTTAGTGGATACTGACTACACATTAGATACCGTTAAACACTTTGGGGCGTATCAAGATGCATAAAACATTCTTCTTCCCAAAGTGCTTCCACATAGCGGTGCCAGATATGTGCATCCGTAAGTGTGTTACAAGATAAAAACCAAGTGCTACGAAAATTCACAGAAGCTACTTCTGGCAGGGGAAATGAGGGAGTGCTTCACAGAGAAGATGGAATTTGAGATGTCCCTTAATGTCCTTACTTGCATTTGATGGGTGTCCAAGGCAACCAGAAAGAAACAGTAGAACAGATGGATTGTAACCATAAGATAAGATGTGTATGTGGGGGGGGTGGGGAGGGCCTTGATTCCAGGCTAAGGAATTTAGTCTCTAGTATTGGACTATGTAAATAAAGAGTGAAAGGTTTTTAGGAAGGGGAAGGGAGAAAAGGGAGAAGGGAGTTGACATGGTTGAAGAGAATAATGCACCCTCTTCCCCTCCCCACCAACAATCAGGTTCTGGAGTGCGGAAGGGAGGAGCAATTGGTGGAACAATGCTATGATCCCTTGGGCTGTGAAGCTGTAGCTTCCTGGTGAAGCAAACAGGCTCATGCTCCCCAGTTTATTAAGCTCAATGTCTAACTCCCTTTGCTCCTTTTTCTCATTAATATGAGCTAACTACCTATGGTAACAAGACTAGGGAGGGCTTGTGGGGCCAGAGATTACTGAGGTGGGTAAGGTACAAGAGAAATGTAAATGTAAGGGGGAGGTAAGGTACGAGAGGACTGTAAAACGTAAAAGAAGGAATGTTGGGAGCAGGGAAAAAGACATATCTATATGAGACATCCTGCATCAGGTGGGCCTGAGTCATGCAGCCCCCGATTCCTCACTTAGCTGTATGAACTTGGCAGTTGTTGACCCTTCTTCTCAGTTTCCTCACCTGTGAAATAGGACATAGCCCCACTTCACATTGTTGAGATGAAGGACATTTTACATACCCTCTCCTCCATCCACCCCCACCTCTGACATGTATAAAGTGTTCCATAAATAGTTGTGGCTTTTTATTTTCAGAGATTTTCCTTTTTAGTGTTTGAGAGGTGGGCATGCATCCAGACTGAGATGATGACATTCTAAACTCAGGCAGCTACAAGCTAGCCTTATAACTGCAGATGGTAAGAGGGTGTAGTTTCCTGGGCTTGACTGAACAATAGGTGGATGACTCTTCCCCTGTGCTGTTAAATGGGGCTAAAAAGTTTAAGAAGTTCAGCTATTTTTGTTAATGTAGGCTCCTGTAAAACAAAACCATGTGTGAGACGAAGGAAGTTTCTTTGCAAAGATGTACTGAAAAACAACCAATTGTTCCAGGTGAAGTTATGTCAAACCCTCAACTAAAAATAAACCCAGTTACAACAGCAACGATAGTAATTAAAACAAAAGACTTGCTATTAATGATTCTAGAGCCCGAATCCTTATATAACACAACTTGCTTGCAGGAAAATAAAGTCAAAATGCTCTAAGAATTACAACGGGATTTTACCAGTTGTCAGTGCTGAAGTCCCTCAAATAAAGGCTGTTGGAAACACAAGCCCAGACATAGGTGGATATACTTTAAACAATTGGAAAATGAGTGCTCAGTACTATAGCCCTTGAGTGGAAGAAAGCATTCTTCACAGTTTTTACTTAGCTGCATACAATAGTTGAAGGTAATGTATAATATGTATTTGACAAAGTGTTGGATATTAACACTGTATAAGGTGAATCCTCTAGACTCTGCAGCTTAGAAGTTTTGCGTCTATTCGTAAAACTAAGGTGCTATATATTTTCCCCCACAAAATGGATTTGTGTCATCAAATTGAAGAAGTCGATCTTGTGTGCAGGTAGGTAAGCCTGAAGTGGCATCTCTGCAACTCACGTGACCCCTTGGCAATGCAAGACAAAAGCATTTCCCAAACTAAAGCAAATGAAAGCGTGGGCAACACTTGGCCTAATGTCTTACAAAAACTTATAGATAGGGTTTTTTTTTTTGTTTTGTTTTGTTTTTTAGTGCTTCACCATCGGGAGTTGGGAAACTGTGTGTGTGGGCCAGATCCTCTCCGCCTGCTGTTTTTGTAAGCCAAGCCGCACTGGAACACAGACTCAGCCATTTGTTTATTGCCGTCTGTGGCTGCTCTCATGCGACAATGGCAGAGTTGATTAGTTATAACAGGGACCATATGGCTTGTGTGGCTTAACATCTGTACCTGGCACTTTACAGGAAATGTCTGAAGGGGACTGATGAGAAGCCTTGAATCCCACAAACCCGGGGAAGGGGGGTGGGCGAGCAAGGGGGGGATGGTCTGATTATAGGGGTCATCCCAGGGACCTGGTGTCCAGGCATGTGCTGGACACTCAGTGAGTGCTCAATCCACTTGTGCAGTGAATCCCAAGCATTTGCTTTACTTACTGAGCAGAAGGAATCAACTCCTTTCAAAGCAGCTTAACCATGTTTAAAGTTGTCAAAGGTGGCAAGTGACATTTTCATCCAGATTTGCCCAGAACCCTAACCATATTTTATTATGAATGAATCAAAACAAATTGTAATTATGCTTTTAACATAATCTAAACTGCTCTTACTACTAAATGAATTGTTGGAATTTTCACTTTGTAGCACTAGCTGGAGGCCCTTGTGATTAATCAGTTGAGAAACCAGTTGATTAGACCCATTTTTCATGTCAGCCACCATTTCTCTTGTGCTCCCTGTAGCCAGGGGGATGGATGCCAGGTTCAGGGAGCCATAGTGAACTCTTTCAGTGCCTTTCTTTTACTTGTCAAACACTTCTCCCCTCCTGTCCATGGCTTTGTGATTGTCAGGACTGGCAATCCACTGACCATAAGAGCAAGGGACTCAGCCCAGAACAAAATTTCCCTGCACGGTTTTTAGAGACAGAGATGTGAAGTCACCATCCCACAGGGAAAGGTGTGTGGAAGCTCCAGTGGCAAGCTGATGTCAAGGTCACTGATCCTCTTCAAAGGGGTTTCGGGGGAAGGGACTGGCGACAAGCAGGTGTGGGGATGAAATAAGACACTTGGGTCTGGGTTTGACTCACAGTGAGCTCTGGTCACGAGGTATTTTCCTTCATGTTGCTTTTGGTTCTCAGAAATGAAAGTAAACAGTACAAACCCTTGGGTATAAGACTCATTCCCACTACCTCCCCTCTCTGGATAAATGAGCAGCAGAATAAGGATTGTATTAGGGGAGAAAAGAGGATTCTGGTGGAAACGAGACCAGAGTTTCCTTCTGCATCTGTCAGAGTATTTCTGAACCGTCCGAGTCAGACTCTGGCAGAGAGGGTGCATGCAGGTTGTATTTGCATGCTCAGGTTGTATTTGCATTTCACAAACAGTATATGATAGACTTCAGTAACTTCCTCTAGGAGTTGGGACAGTTAACATTGAACAAACCCCAGAATATTAAAACCTATTTTGATTTTTTTTAACTCAGTCCAGACAGAAGAAGCCAGACTGTATTTTAGGGAGTGACAGAACTATTTGTTTTTTTTTTTTCTTTTAAATAGTTTTTTTATTTTTTTCAATTCAAGTTGATATACAATATATTAGTTTCAGGTGTGCAGCATAAGGATTAAACATTTATATAACTTATGTATGATCACAATATTAGTAACTATACTCCCTATGTTGTACTTTACATCCCCATGGCTATTTTGTAACTACGAATTTCAATCCCTTCCCCTTTTTACCCATCCCTCCAACCCCCCTCCTATCTGGCAACCAGCAAAATGTTCTCCATATCTACATCTATCAGTTTGTTTCTGTTTTGTTATATTTTGTTTTTTAAGATTCCACATATAAGTAAACTCATACAGTATTTGTCATTCTCTGTCTGAATTATTTCGTTCAGCACAGTACCCTCTGGGTCCATCCGTGTTGTGGCAGATGGCCAAGATTTCATTCTTTTTTATGTCTGAGTCATATTTCGTTGTATATGTGCACCATTTCTTTATCCATTCATCTATTGATGAGCACTTAGGTTGCTTCCACATCTTGGCTATTGCAATTAATGCTGCAGTGAACATATGGACACACATCTTTTCAAATTAGTGGTGTCTTCGGATAAATACCCAGAAGTGGAATTGCTGGGTTGTCTCTTGTTATATATAGCCTCTGCTTCAAAGTCTATTTTGTCTGGTATACACAAGCTTTGTTGTTGTTGTTGTTTCTATTTTCATGAAATGTCTTTTTCCATCCCTTCATTTTCAGTCTGTGTGTATCTTTTGATCTAAAGTGAGAAATTTGTAGATAGCATATGTAAGGGGCTTGTTTTCTTTTTCATTTAGCCACCCTATGTCTTTGGATTGGAATATTTAATCCATTTATATTTAAAGTAATTGTTGATAGTTATTACCATTTTATTATTCATATTTTTATTTTTTTCTTTTCCTCCTTCCTCTTCTTTTTCTTTCCTCTTCTTCCTCTCCTCCTCCTCCTCCTTCTCTTCCCCCTCCTCCTTCCCTTCCTCCTCCACCTTCTCCTCCTCCTCCTCCTAGTCCCTCTAACACTTCTGTAATACTGGTTTGGTGGTGATAACTTTTAACTGTTAACCTTTAACTTTTTCTTGTCTGGGAAGCTCTATCTGTCCTTCCATTCTAAACAATACCTTTGATGGGTAGAGTAATCTACCCAGTTGTAGTTCCTTGCTTTTCACCACTTAGAGTATTCCATGCCAATCCCTTCTGACCCTCAGAGTTTCTGTTGACAGATCAGCTGACAGGCCCTTGTAGATAACTAACTGCTTTTCTCTTGCAGCTTTTTAGATTCTCTCTTTGTCTTTACCTTTGCCTTTTTAATTATGATGTGTCTCTGTGGGGTCCTCTTCGGTTTATGTTGTTTGAGACTCTCTGCACTCCCTTGGCTTCTACGTCTATTTCCTTCATCAGCTTGGGGAAGTCTTTTGTTATTATTTTTTCAAATAGGTTTCAATTTCTTGCTCTCTCTCTTCTTCCAGTACCCCTATGATGCGAATGTTGGTGCACTAGATGTTGTCCCAGAGCTCCCTTAAACTAGCCTCATTTTTTTGGATTCTTTTTTCTTTTTGCTGTTATGATAGGGCATTTTCTGGTTCCTTATCTTCCAAATCACTGATTCAGTCTTCTGCTTCATCTAATTTAGTTTTGATTCCTGCTAATGTATCCATTTTGGTTATTGTAGTCTTCATTTCTGACTGGTTCTTTCTGTTTTCTATCACCATTTTTATGTCTCTTATCTTTTCGTTGAAGTTCTCACTGAGATCATTGAGCATTCTTATAACCAGTGTTTTGAACCCTGCATCTGGTAGATTGCTTGTCTCCATTTTGTTTACATCTTTCTCTGGAGTTTTGTTCTGCACTTTCATTTGGCATTTGATTCTCTGTCGCTTCATTTTGGCAGCCTCCATGTGTTTGTTTCTACGTATTAGGCAGAGCTGCAATGTCTCCCAGTCTTGATAGAGCAGCCTTACGTAATAGGTCCCCTGTAGGGACCAGTGGTGCCATCTCCCTAGTCACCTGAGCCGGGTGCTCCAGGTGTGTCCCTTGTGTGGAATTTATGTGCCCTCCTGTTGTAGTTGAGGGATTGCTGTTGACATGTCAATGGGAGGGACTGATTGGCTGTGAGGACTGACCGACCATGACTACAATGGAGCAGCTGTTGTGCACAGGCTGACCGTACGCAGCAGATCTGCTTCAGCAGGGATCTGGTGTCTGCCAGGTCCGTCCATTCAGTGCCTCGTTTGTGAAGGTGGTTGGGTGGTGGTCTGGTGTGGTTGGAAGCTGGCCACTGGGGGTGCTGGTTCAGGGCCACTTGGTGTGAGCCACAAGATGATCTGTAGATGACTGCCACTTTGCTGGGCTTGGAGATGCCTGGGAGAGGTTAAGCTGCATGCTGAGGCTGGCTGTCACTAGTGTTGGGCTTAGGGTTGCTTACCAAGAGGCACGGGGCATGCCAAGACCAGCATGTCTGGGGTTTATGAACTTTTGAGAGATTTTAGGAAAGTTTGAACCATGAGCCAAGACAGGCTATTTGTATGGAAAAGCCACTGGAATTGGCTTGGTTGGGCCCGGAAGTTGGGTGGCCTGGTCTCAGACTCACCAGGGCAAGGTGAACGGAGACTCAGAAATGCCTGCCAGCTCTGTGGTGGGGTGGGCCAAGCAAAGGAACAATGGCCTCTGCCCACACCTTTGTCTGGGAGAAAGCTGCCCCTCCAGCTCTTGCCCTGATGCCAGACTACTCAGTTTCTGTATGTCCTTCAGTGCTGCTGACCCAGCACTCACTGGAGCTCAGAGCGAGTGAGTCCTAGTAAGTCCATGTGTGGGCTTTTACGAGGAACGCCTGGGACTCTAGAAGCTCTTTGCCGCACTGAGCCACAATCCCTGCTGGTTTTCACAGCCGGGAGTTATGGGGGCTTCTCTTCCTGGCACTGGAACCTTGGGCTCGATGCCTGGTGTGGGGCCGTGGCCCCTTGCTCCTCAGCGGGGACCTCTGTAGATGAGACACCCCTCCCGATTTTTAACTGCCACATATGGGTGTGGGCCCAGCCCGTCCTGCGTCTCTGCCCCTCCTTCCAGTCTGCAGTAGTTTCTGCATGTCCTTACTTACAGGGCTCCTCTTCAGCTGGACTTCAGGTGGTTTTCAGTGGTGGTGGTTCTGTACTTTAGTTGTAGTTTTGCTGTGGTTGTGGGAGGAGGCAAGTACAGCATTTACTCACTCCGCCATCTTGACCAGGAGCCCCGAACTATTTGTTTAAAATAACAATTTCAAGTGATTTAGTGTTTATAAAACTTTTAATGAAATACCAACTTCATCTCCTTATGTACCTCTTCGCAAATGTAAGACAAAGCAGAGTTTTATAATCTTTAAATAACTTGTGTAACAACTGTGGTACTGGTGTTTCTCAAAGGGGAATTCTTTTAAATTATAAAGGATTTTGAGTGCTTGAAATCCTATGAAAAGAGAGAAAAAACAAGTTTAAATATACTGTATTAACTTACGTTTAAAGGAATACACAAACCCTATGAGTATTAAGCTACATCCACTATAAGAATCTTACAGGTACAAACCAGCATATATTGAATTAAATCTATCTTATGGGGAACTAACTAATTAAAATACTAGGAGACATGGTCTTTTTTTTTTTTAATATTTTATTTATTTATTTTTTAGAGAGGGAAGGGAGGGAGAGAGAGAGAGGGAGACAGAAACATCAATGTGCGGTTGCTGGGGGCCGTGGCCTGCAACCCAGGAATGTGCCCTGGCTGGGAATCGAACCTGGGACACTTTGGTTCCCAGCCCACGCTCAATCCATTGAGCTACGCCAGCCAGGGCGGAGACATGGTCTTTTAAAATGTGCCTAAACAGTAAAGAATTGGGAGTGGCAATTAAAGCAGAAGCACTTCTGTGTGTGCTAGGTGCATCCTAGAGCATCTAGCGGATGGAGGTCAGGGGTGCTGCTAAGCATCCTCCAGTGCACGGGACAGCCCTCCCGAGGCACAGAACTGTGTGGGATCATTAAGGCTTCATTACATGAGCATCATAAGAAAATGTCGATAGTGCCAAGGTTGAGAAACCCTGTTCTAGGGCAAAACTACAACTGGATGAGGGCAACTGAGAGGGAGACAAAGAAAAAGTAAAAGGCATTTGTTCTTCCAACTCAGCCCCAAGGTGTCACTTACTGCTTGGTGAGAGTATTTTACTCCACACTCACAGAATGTTTTCCACAAATGGTAGGAACAAATATGGAGTGTTACATATTGCTTGTCGGCCAATTAAAGAATGATATGCTTTTGGTATAGTGAACTACACAGTAAAATGACTTCTGTGATTGACAATTCTGGAGTGGACAATCTGAAACATTTTTGACTTAAAAAACTCTACAGAACAGCTCGTGGGTGTTCACCATTAGTGTCCATCAGAATGACTTAAACGTGTTTAAATCACTGATGATCGTGCCCCAGGCCACGCTCTAGTCAGAGGAAATCTAGGACAGTACTAAGGAATTCAGAGAACCAGTGCTTCATTGCTCGAGAAAGTGTTCAGGCTCCTGAAAACATTGGAAACCTCCCTCCCGCTACTGTCTTTCTGAAAAATAATCTAGAAAGTCGAATTTCTATCCAAAGAGCTACAATATCTGAACGATGTGTTCACTGCTTCCCTGTATTTACCAGTGCAGAAGTACACCAGGCCCAAATATCTCAATGATATTCCCTTGGCCATCTCAGTTAGAGAATTGCATCGTTTCAAGGATTTCTGAGATGCTTCTTCCAGCAACAGCAGAGAATATTCTATATTCTTTAAATTTCTGAGTGCTTTAACTAACCAAAGGAGTGTCCTGGGACCACAGACCACGGACCACTTGACCAAGTGAGTTGCTTGGTCAAGCTGACAAAATCGAGATGCCTGGTTCTCAGCTTTGCCACTGGAATCCTGTGACAACCAGTGTCTCAAGTTCCTCGCCTGTACAATGGAGCCGATCATCTCAGCCCTAATGATACCAAGAGACTGAGCAATACTGGAAAATGCCGCAAGAAAAAATGACGGTGTGGTAAAGCCTCCTTGGCTCTGAAAGTGCCGGCAACTTTGTCATGCCTCGGCAGACAGGGAGGGAAGCTGACATTTATTCAGCTCCTTCTAAAGCCCAGTGGCAGACACTAGTACAAAGTATATCAAAAGTGAAAATCCATCACTGCCACACAGTGACTTCATGTCCTTGCCCTATTCCCTAAACAAATCCATTCTATAAATATGCCTTAAAAAAATACTCACATTTTCACTCATTGTGGTGGCTTTGGCTGCAGAACTGCTCTTCCTGTTTGTGGAATAAAAGAAACAACATTTATTACCTGATCACTTCCAATTCTGAAACACACACCCTTTCACTTAATGTTACCTCTGTACATTTTCTCAACAGGAAGATGAACCTTTATCACAGCCAGGTGCAATAAAAAGCCAGAAATCCCAACTGGATGTCTTACATTTACAGACAATATTCTCGGAGAAAGCCGTGTAACAAAATATCAGTGTGTGGGGGAAACCCTGTACCTAGTTGTGACCTAGGACTAATATACTACAGATTTTTGTGGAATGAGCAAAACAGAGACTTACTAACTTGTAATGTATCGATTTAGTAACATTTAACATTTTGAAAGCTTGAGATTATAGTCTCAAATTTCACTTTTTCCATGGAAAGAAATATTTATGTGGTGACTATGGTTTTGAGCTGAACTGTGTCCCCCCCACCCCCTGATATCACATGTTGAGGTCCCAACCCCCAGGACCTCGTCATGTGATCTTATTTGAAGAGAGGGTCTTTCAAGAGGTATTAAGTTAAGATGAGGTGACCAGGGTGGCCCTAACCCAATATGACTGTTTCCTCATGAGAAGAGGAAATTCAGATGCACACAGACAGTGGGAAGAGGATGTGCAGACACAGGGAGAGGGCCACCTGTCAACCAAGAGCAAAGCCCGGGACAGGTCCCTCCCTCCCTCACAGCCCTCAGAAGGAGCCAACTATGCTAACACCTTGGTCCTGGACTCCCGGTCTCTAGCACTGTGGGAAAATACATTTCTGAGGTTTCAGCCACCCAGTTTGTGGCACTTTGTTATGGCAGCCCTAGCAAACACAGGAAACGTCTGATTCATCAATCAACTAATTCCAGGGCCATAAAGGTAGTGCCCTGCACACCACGTCCTGGGTTAATAGAGACGCTGTGACTGAAGCGAAGACTAACCTCGCCCCACAGCAATGCCAGCCTTTTCCCATGTATGAGATGATGCCTCTCCTCTGCTCAAAACCCTCCAATCACTTTCCATCTTACTCACTGAAAGCGGAAATCCTCACAGATGCCTTGCGGGGCATGGGGTGGCTATATCATCAGGCTCACCCTCCTTTCTGAACTCCCCCTCTATGCCACCGTTAGTCCTGAGAACTTGGACCTCATGCTGGACTTAGACTGAGATTATGAGGCTCAGAGACCGGCAGTGAGCAGCAAGTCTGGCCGCAGGAAATCAATGGCAGCTCAGCTTTCAGAAGATTAAGGAGATGGCCGAGTATCTGAAGCGATGACAGCTGAGAGTAGAAGGGGTGCCCATGGACTCAGAGCTGGGTCTGCCATTTCCACACACACACAAGCAGGACAGTCACAGGTCAACCGCACATGAACTGGGGGACTTTGATGACCTTATCAGACCTCATCCACCCATGAGTCCTAAATCTCTAACTCTAGTTAAGATGTTTCCCCAAACTCCAGATTCATATGTTGTTACTTACTGATTATCTCTAGTACTACAGGCATCTCAGACTGCAAAGTTCCAAAACACTCCAGACCGCTCCACTACCACCACTGAAGCATCCAAACCTGCTCCTCTTGAAATCTTGTGTCCTTGGTAAATGGTTACTCCATCCTCTCATGGCCTTGAGCCAGCCCTGACTTCTCTATTTCTGATACCCTACACTCAGTCAATCACCAAATTGTTGAAAATGGTTCCAGAATCCTGTCACTTTGCAACATCTCCAATACCACTGCTTTGGACCCCGCCACTGTTTTGTCTAGATTGCTGAGTCATCTCTTAAGTGGTCTCCCTGCCTCCCCACCCTTGATCACCTTGTAGTTTATTCTCAATAGAGCAGCCACTGTGAGATTTTAGAATTAAGGCGATGCCATTCCTCTGCCCATCCTACTCAGAACCAAAGCCAAACTCCTCACGACGGTCTAGAAAGGGCTCTATATAATCTGGCCCCTGCTACTTTTGTGTACGCATCTCCTCTTCCATTGTCCTCACTCTGTTCCAGCGGCACCGTTCCCCCTGATGTTCCTGATATTCCAGGTATCCCTGGCCTCGAGATCTTTCCATTTGTTCTCTCCACTCACCCTGAACACTCTTCCCCGGGATGTCTTCATGACTTGTTCCCTCGGCTCCTTCAGGTCCTGTTCAGACGTCACCACCTCAGTGAGGCGTTCCCTAACCACGACCACGTACAAGGACAATCTCCACTCTTACCCCACGAGCCTCTCTTCTCTTGTCTGCTTTGCTTTTCTCCAGAATTCTTATTACAATCCGACGCAATTGTTTCCTTTCTGCCTGTCTCTCCTAGAATGTAAGCTCCACAGAGCAGAGGGGCTTTTGACCTGTTTTGGTCACAGCTGAATCACTAGTCCCGGGGACCGTTGCTGGACACAGAATCGGTGCTTAATTAAATGTGAACATGACTGTTGAGTCAAATTTTACTTGGAAGATTTCAATTTAGTAAATTACAGCAAATACATTCTTTAAAGCAGTTCTATGGAAATGCCTACGAGGTCAAGTTAATAAATGCATTTCTTCTGTAGATAGTTAAACATCACCAACAAGTAGGCAGGAGGCCTGAAGTGGGGTGTATATCTTGTTGAACTTGAGTCACAGTTACTTCCCATAGGATTGAAAAACTTCACAAATAACTCATCTTCCCACTTTTGACTTTACACAGATCATTAACATAAAATTATGGGAGAAGTTATGGGAGAAAAGCATGCATTTTAAGAAAGTATACTTACTGGAAGGAGGTTTCTTCTACAAAAGAATAAGTAAATATCATTAATACAAGAGTTCATATGGCATGATACAGTTTCAAATAAAAATGAGTTTAAGCTTAATTTCTTTTTCTCAGTCTTGATTCTCACTTGCCAACATCTGTACCTTCTAACTCAAGGGTCAGTAAACTTTTTCTGTAAAGGGCTACATGGCAAAATTTTAGGCTTTGTGGGCCAAGAGGTGAAATTAAGGATATTTTGTAGGTAATTTTATAACAAGAGAAAATAAACTTCCAAAATTTTTACCAATAAAATTTTAACTAGAATAATAAAGTCTTGTGTTGGCTAAACAGAAAAACAGTTCTTTGGGGGAAGATAATATTTCTCTTAATTGGGGCTCAAAGTTAGTATTCTTATTATCCAATAGATTGCAAATGTTCATCTGCAAAAACCATTCTTATCTCACGGGCCATAAAAGCACAGGTGGTGGGGCAGATTTGGTCCACAGGTTGTAGTTTGCCAACCCCCGTCCAAAATGCAAGTTCTAGAAATGATTCCCTTAGATTTTCTGCCAGAAGAAAATGGAAGTGACATTCTTAGCTAATGAACTACGAATACCCATATCACATCTTTAATTCAGTGTTTTAAGAAAAAAAATTGTTTACCAAATCTTCAAAAAATACTTATATATATTCTTTGCAAGTAGAGATAAAGATGATAAGAATTTTGAGCAATCTGTCATCTGTACTTTCATTGGTGACCAGCAGAGGGACTCAGCCAACTCCATTCATAAAGTTACCCTGGACTAGATTGTAGAACCATACAAATAAATGAACAAGTATTATTCATTCACAGAACAATTCTTAATTATGAAGGATATCACTGAAACCATGTTCATGGAAACATTTCTTGCTAATATCTACTTATAGGCATTATTAGAAACTCCGTTTAAATTTGTTTTATTTTGGTATAAAATGTTTTTTTTAACCTAAACTCCCAAATTAATGTTCACTGTGAAACAGCAAATCTAAAACTGACTTATGCTGTATTAACATGTATTATTCCATTAAAAATTCTACCTTATACAGTAATCCCAATGGACTTTATGGAGGTCTACAGTTTTTGAGCTCTCAGATAATTTTAAAGACCAAGGAGAAAGGAAATGCATTAAGAGAATAAAAAAGATGATTTTTTAATCTCGCACTTTTACATCCTATCACCAAATGGGGGGTTAGAATTACAAGAGGACTAAACGTGAAGAACTATAAACTTTGTTCAGAAGCAACTCCAACACAACAGGTTTCTAGCTTTTACCGAACGATTCTTTTCAGTCGTGCTAAATTTGACATTCAACATTCCACTATTCTCAACTGATGAAACAGTTCGCAGATTTATTTCAAAGAAATTTCTCATCATATAAGTAGAAATCCATTTGCCACTTCAAGTACACAATTCCTAACTTAAAAGGATCTTCAGCCCTGGCTGGCGTAGCTCAGTGGATTGAGCGCGGGCTGCAAACCAAAGTGTCGCAAGTTCGATTCCCAGTCAGGGTACATGCCTGGGTTGCAGGCCATGACCCCCAGCAACCGCACATTGATGTTTCTCTCTCTCTCTTTCTCCCTCCCTTCCTTCTCTAAAAATAAATTAAAAAAATCTTTTTTAAAAAATTTAAAAAAAATTTTTTTAAATAAAAATAAAAAAAGGATCTTCAACACATGTAAATGTACTATAAACATCCTTCTACGCTGACTCTCTCTTGGTACCCCGGGTATCGCTGCAATCTGCCATTCCGTGGTGTCTCCTGGAATGCTGGGCCGAGGCAGCTCTGCCTGTCCTCCCTCCATCTGCCACAGTGCTTCATGACTCACCTGCCTGTCATCTTGGGTATTTCTACTACAGAAAAAGCAATGAAACAACATTCTCCCGAGTTTGCTAGAGCTTCTTGAGAGAAACGGTGTCTCATTAAAAAAAAAAAAACAACAAAGACAAAAAGCCTCCATATTCACAGGAATTTGTCTAGCAGAGGGTGAAATTCACTTACTCGAAAAGTAGCCTTTCCTCTGAGCGTAGCACACGCCAAGGCCACAAACAGAAATCACCAAGGCCACAATTACTACAGCTGCTATGATGCCACTTATGTTGAGATCATCTGGAATGCAAAATAAACCACGCATGAATTGATGTCAAAGAGAAGGGCAGATGGAGACATTCAACTGGAAAAGTTCGAAAACAACTCCTGTTTGCAGCCATACCGTAAGTGTGGGTAATTGCATGCTTCCAAAGTCTGTTCAGCCAACACACTTGTAGGACGTGATTCAAAATTGAATGAAAATATAAAAACTATGTTTGGCAAAACTTTTCAATTTTAAAAAGTTCTATGGTCCAGAAATAACATGTGTGGTATTTATTCTCTTGCATTCATTTGGACATGCAATAATTTATAAGATTAAATACCAGATTGGAAACAATTTTTGAAGTTCAGGGAGCTCAAGTATTCTACTACCACCCTCCCCCACCCCAAATTTTACTTAAAATTCTTCTACATCATCATCTGTGTCAATTTCACAAATTATGGAAAATTCATCCAGCCCTGAAGACAGCCCATGACGCTGTTTTCTATAAAATTTAATGTCAGAAACACACTTGGATTTATATGGGCTTGAGTGGGCATGTGTATGTATGTATACGCCATTACATATAGGCCATTAAACTGCCATTCCATTCAATTTAAAATGAATTCAATTCCCTCAAAGCTTCTTCCTGTTGCCGTTAAGCAATCTCTCCTCTACCCTAATACAACTGGATTTTTTGGACCCAAGTTTGAAATCATTACCAGATTACCAACCTGTGAGGTTTGTTTTGTTTTGTTTTTTCCAGATACTGATTCTCTTGCCCAAGAATTAGATTATTAACACCCCGAAGTTAATATTTTTCCAATTTTGAACTGCATCAAAAGTACTCTCAAGTTTCTAATAAAATGATGAACATGACTCTATTGGGGAAAGAACTATGCAACAAGTTATTAGATATCGCTCTTTAATAACATGATTTATTACGACACTCTGGGTACAGCCTCCAACTACATGTGAATCCATGCAGCATTTAATTTGGACCATATTTCTCCATCTTGCCCATGAGGATGTCATGTGCCACACTCTTCTGTCATTTAGACACTTCCTATGTTCTAATTAGCATGTGAGTTATCTGTGATTTGTAAAGGAGCAATTCCTCAAAGGAGTCTCATGCAAAAGCAAGTATTAATTAGGATATTACCACATTATTTGGTAATATTAGAAAATATTAGGGATGACTTTTCTGAACAGTAATTTTAGATATTTTAAAGCAGTGCTTATTTTGGGAAAGATTTTATAAGTGAGTCTGCTTTTCATAAAAGCACCCTGTTTCCAAGTTTTTTCCTCATCCCAAGTGTGTTATTAATTTTCCCAGATACCATTGAAATATCAAGGGACCTTTTTAAGGAAACATGACAAATCTTTTGAAAGATTGAGTAATTTGACCAGAGTAGAAAACATTAATTATTGCTTGCTATAAACTCAATTCATATTTACTTGAGTATTGGAAGGTCACTGAACTCTAGCTATTGATTTACTTGGAAAAAAATAGAAAAGAGGGAAAATTTACAAATATAATGTAAAGCAAATTAAATTAATAACTAAATGATACTCCTGAGAACCAAACTGTGTCTACTATATTCTTTGTAGTGGTCAGTGAATTTGACATTTATGAAGTGTTCAACCTAAGGGCTATTATTTCACACACACACAAAAAACATCCTATACTTTGTCAATGAACTTGACATCTATGAAGGATTCAAGCAAAAAGCAAATCCTGATAAAAAACAAAAAAACTGTCGTACCTTATCAGTGCTAAGTCATGGTATAGATTTTATTTTATTTTCTTCAATGAAATGGAAGCGATAAGGCTCTTATGTTAGAGATAAGTTGTTTTAAGCCTATTTGTCACTTACTGTGAGATCCTGAGCAAGTCATATAACCATCTTATACTTCACTGAAAATATAACACCACATATGAAAACACTTTGTGTTCTTCATTAAAAAAACAAGCCACTATAAAAGGAAGGCATCCTCACTCTAAATAAAAGGAGAGGAACCAAACTGATAGAATGCTGTGTGGTGGGATCTTCCAGAGATCATCAGCAAATTCATGATTCACTTTCTTTCTCCACTTCAGAAAGAACTTCTTTAGAATAGTTCTTCTATTCTTCTTTAGAAGAACTTCTTTAGTTAACAGATTCTGGTTTTGGTTACAAGTTATTAATGATAATTCAAAAAGAAAACTGAACATGCGATTTCATGCTTTCGTGTGCATTTCAAATTATATTAATTATATTAATTAATCAATTATGTGATTATTAATTTAATCAAATTATATTAATTCCAAACCAAGGGCATAAAATACTTAGGAGCAATGGGTGAGCATTAAACGAACTACTTCTAACCTTTAAACTAACTTACATCAGAAAGAGTAGATATGTGGAAATCATGATCAAATTAGAGTGGTATGACTAGCAAAACACAAACTATTTAGCCCTGGCTGGCGTAGCTCAGTGGATTGAGCGCGGGCTGCGAACCAAAGTGTCGCAGGTTTGATTCCCACTCAGGGCACATGCCTGGGTTGCAGGCCACGGCCCCCAGCAACTGCACATTGATGTTTCTTTCTCTCTCTCTTTCTCCCTCCCTTCCCTCTCTAAAAACTAAATAAATAAAATCTTAAAAAAAACACACAAACTATTCAATTTTAACTTACTGCATGCTAGGAAAACAAACTAGAATGTCAAAACTATAACATCACAGAATTACTTCTTAAGATGCAGCTAAATTAGGCATTAACATTAAACATGGCAACTTAAAGAAAAAATAAATAGTAATCCTATAGGGGTTACAAGGTGACAGTACAAACCGTGAGGACAGTTTGTACTGAAGTTAGGGAAACACTGGGCTGTGCTCATTTTTATAATGAGTTCTAATGGTTTTTCGTGATGATAATTCCAAAGCAGCACTGAGAGAGCGTTTCCAGTAATTTAAGCAAATGCTTATATTGGACCATCAATGTCAACACCTGGATGAATATGGTGGTAATATGTATCTCTGAATCTAAAAAACACCTGAAATTCAAACTTACTACTGAATATGTTATACTTTAGGATATCCTGAAGTCTAATAAGAGTATTATTTTCTTCAAAAAATAATGCTGAGTGTAACTGCACGTAGACAATACACATTACTGCACACATATCTGCATACCTGTAAGCACAGTGGAAAAGTGAATTTCTGACCACCAAACCCCGAACCAAAGGGGAACCCTTAGTCTTGCGCTTCAGGGTACAGCCCTCCCAAGTGACCTTTAGCCCCTTGGGTACCACCTCAGCTCTCCCTTCTCTGTTACACAGCCATTTTCAAAACACATGGTTTTCACACAAAGAAGAATTAAACCAAGTTATTAAAAAATAAAATGAAAAAATAATATGATTGTTCTGAAACATAATCTGGAAAGATTCTCAAGCACTTATTTTATTGGGTTCTAAACAACTTATTTTGCATAATGTGATATATGGCAGCTAACTTTACAGTGATTTAGATCCGTAATTTATATACAACATGCCTTTTTGAGAAGCTACTTTGCAATAATTGTAAGCATAGTATTTCAGAAGACCAACAAAATTATCAACAACCTGATAACAAGCTAAAGCGTCACTTACATAGTGCTCATAATATGCTGGTGCTACTCTAACACTTTCAACTATTATTTCCTCTTCATAACAGCTCTGTGAGGATGGTATATTACTACTTCCACTATGGGGCGACTGAGGCACAGAGGTTAAATAATTTGTCAAAAGTATGCAGCTAGTACATGGCAGAGCTGGAATTTGAACCCCCATACAGAGTCCTTGAACTTGAGTAATTTACAGGGCTCAGCTTTTGTCTGAAAAAGGATTGCTCTGATGGGCATAGTGTCAAAACAATTATTTGAAAGATTCGAAAATTTGTAAAGTGCCCTGGCTGGTGTGGCTCAGTGGATGGAGCACAGGCCTGCGAACCAAGGGGTCACCAGTTCAGCCAGGGCACATGCATGGGTTGCAGGCCAGGTCCCCATTAGGGGGCGCAAGAGGCAACCACACATCGATGTTCCCCTCCTCCTCCCGTCCTCTCTAAAAGTAAATAAATAAGACCTTTAAAAAAATTAAAAATAAAAAAAATTGTAAAATTTAATGCTAAAAATTCTTGGCTTGTTTGGGACATGGATAAAAAACAGCATCTTTGCTGCTTGCAACACACTGTATCTAGTTAATTTTAAACATTCCCTCCCATTTAGGCTCCCATCACTCCGCCCTTTCCCACCCCAACTTCCGCCCGACAACTTGCACCTAACTGTGAGCCCTTTGTCCCTCCAAACAGTTCAGGCTTACCTACTTGCATTCGCTTCCCAGGGCACCTGCGAGATCCGACGGAATTACGGGCTTCGCAGGAGTATTCGCCGCTGTCCAGTTTTGAAACAGTATTGAATTGCTGGGATTTTGTGGAAGAAAAAATAAATGTATTTTTTAGCAATAAAACTGTAAGAAGACTCCTAAAATAACCATGTCCTGTGAATTTTTGTGTTAAGTTGGTCTTTCCTTTTCAATGACTTAAGCCTTCGTATTTTTTTGCTATGAATTAAAAAATCTTCCATACCTTCAAAGAGTAAATAGCTAGGTCTCCTGTTTGACAGAGACTTATGGAGAAGTATCTTTTTTTTTTTTTTGCGTGTGACACTGTGAAAAATAGTTCAGTTACAAAAGCAGTGGGCATTTTTTAAAGTTATAGTACCTTGTAGTATTTAGTATTCTAGGTATTTCTAATTCTCTGAGGAAATGCCATTTGTAAATGAAGGACTACTTGGCCTCAAAGGGCTGATACACTTTGCAAAGTCACAAGTGACTAGTGCAGCAGCAAATATTAACACTTCCTCTAAAGCCGTAGCTATCACCAGCAATAATGTGGAGCCTAGGAAAATCATAGTCGATGTCGTTCACAGGATTATAAATTCTGTCGGTTGTGGGATTTTTGAAAATCCTGAAGACATCAAGTCCAGCCCTTGCTCCTTCCACTCCCTGCTAAAGACTTCGATATAATAGGTTTTGTACTTGATATTAGTTTTATTTCCCTGGGGAATTTCATGAAGGAAGGAAGGAAGGAAGGAGACAGGGAGGGTGGGAGGTAGAAATGTAGGAAAGGACAGAAAAGAAGATGGAAAGGAAGGCAGGAAGTCAGGCCAACAGATTAAAAGGAAGATAGGAAGGAAGGAAAGAATGTGGGAAGCAGGAGGAGAGAGAGGGAGGAAGGGAGGGAGAGAAGGAAAGAAGGGAAGAAGGGAGGGAGGAAGGAAGGGAAGAAGGGAGGGAGGAAGGAAGGGAAGAAGGGAGTGAGGGAGGAAAGAAGGAAGGAAAGGAAGGGAGGGAGAGGAGAGGAGGGAGGGAGGGAGGGAAAGAGAGAAAGGAGGGGATGAATGCAGTGGGTCTTGCACTTAGTAAAGGACTCTGCCAGGACCAGTGCAGAGGGTCACAGGGGCTGGATCTTTCTTTCAGTGTGCTTGTGCCACACCCTCGCAACCACAGCGGTCCCTGCTGATGGCACCCACAAGAGCCACAAGGCTCTAAGGGCCACCCTCATTGACTTTGATCTTCATGCAACAGTATGTTAGTAAAAATAGCTGAGGTTTTTCTTTACGTGCTCCTTTCCTCTCTCACTTTACCTTACCCACTACCCACCTACTTCTTTCTGTATACTTCAGCATACTGAGATGAAAGCTTTCCCTAGCTTATTTTAACTCTGTGGAACCCTCTCTCACCCCACCCCACAAGCCAGAATACTTTTAAAATATTCACCATGGGCTCAAGATTAAGGTTATACATCAACAATCAGTGACATAAAAACAAGGATCTCCCAGCACATTATAATTGGTAATCAAAAGGAAGTCACCGTCCTCCCCCGACTGGTGTCTTGGTTGCTCCTTTCTCAGAAATCAACCCAGTTTTACCCTTGACACCACAAGACACTTCAAGCAGTGAGGCTAACTGAGGAAAGTGAATCTATGTCATCTCAGACTTGCTTTGGGGCTTTTATCACCTGCTCTGAGAAAAAATAAATTTGAAAAGTAAATATAGCAAAGTGTGACGGCAGGTTTTCTGCCCAATTTCTCAGAGTGGAGTCACTGGGACCTGCTGACCCAGCCTGCTGACGCCCAGGGGGTGGGGCCTTCCTCAGGGAATAGCTGCATCACTGGTGTGCTTTGTTTTTTAGCCACTTGATCACTATTCTGTTATTTCCCAGAAGATCTAGATTTTAAATGTCATCATGCACTTGTTGATTGAAAGCATATAAGGAAACATAATCTCCTTGTAAAATTCATCAAAATTATTATTGCCATGCCTTTAAGATTTTTTTGTTAATAATTGTGGTAGTGATTCTACATTATTGAAAATCAGACATTTTTTCCTTTATGTTATAGTTCTTTGAATAAAAAAAAGTTTCAAGCTTAATGATCTTTATTTTTACTTCCATCTCTCCCCTGAAAAGTCAGAGACAAAGAAAAAGAAAAATACTTTTATTTTTAGATGTCATTAACTTTAAAGAGCTTATTTGTAGGTTTCCATCAGTATTCCTAGAAAGACTTTTCAATCAATCAGAAAATCTGGGCAAAATCTAAAGTCATAGATTCTTAAGTCCCTGAGTCAGTTGTTGCTGATCTAGTTATGGAAGAATTTAAGGACAGAGGCATCCTATCATAGGTGGGCAGTAGTCACTACCCCTAAATGGCTGGTACTGGGGCCAGGGCACGCCCTGCCCCTGCTCGGAGTGTCTGTGTATTTCCGACATTGTAAATGTGCGGCTGCACTCGCTGCCCTTCCAGGCCAGGAAGGCAGCTGCGGTGAGCTACCTGCTCCGTGGTCATGAATCAGACCCGCTCTCCTTCAGTCACTGTGCAGATTGTACTTTGCGTGTTCAGCTCCCCAGTTCACCGTGTGGTCCTCCGCCTGCCTGCAGCAGCCCTTTCCCCCACTTCTCTGTGCATGCACCCCCACGTTCCTGCTGTCCTCCCCTCTCTCCACTTAACAAGCAGTGGTATCAACCTTCTATTCTATATCATTTCAGTTCCAATCATTCTTTTCCTCCAAATCCAGAACAGTTACGAGGCCAAGGCTTGCCATGCCCTCACCAGAGTTCCAGATTTTGTATTCACTGTGTACGAGCTGTTGGTGCTTTGGGCGTCAAGTTCTGGACTCCCTAACAAACGGATGCCATCCTTAAACCACGTGTACTCAGGGGCTGGATTCGCCTCTCTGTCTTGACATCGCAGCTCCACCACGGTTCCGCTCAGAGCAGAGTTGGGTATTTCACAGGATGGAACTCCTGGAGCCACTGAGGGACAGAAGTCAGATGGTACTGGTTATCTATAAGCTAAACAAGGATTGTAACAGCCAGGTGGAGGTGTATCAGATGCCTGTGACAGAGACCGGCTACTTGTTCAAAAGGCCTATTGCCTTTCTTCACGGGCACGCAGCTAGACCACATTTGCCAGCTCCCTTGCTGCCAGACAGGGTCATAGGCATGAGTTCTGTGCCATTTCCAGGCCTGATCCACACAAGTCTCCTGCGTGATTCTCCATTCACTCATTCTCCCACCCCTTCCCGCTACCAAGCAGGTGTCAATACCCATGGTGATCTCAGAAAGCCATGTATTGCAGATATCAGACCTGTATTTCCTTGGGTCTCTAATAATTTCATGAAGTGGAATAATATGGCTCCACTCCTACAATCCTTGCCCCAACCATTAATACTTGACCTACATGAGAAACTTCTAATATGTAAAGTCACTCACTGAGCGTGCTTTTCTCTTATAACAGCAAGCATTATATTAGCTAACATAACAACTGTTCTTTTTTACATGAATAATCTCTACTTTTCTCCTCACCAGTGGTTTAATGTTTTATTACCAAGTACATTCAAAAGAAGTCAAACCTGAGTATATTTTTCAGGCCCAGTACTCAAACGAATATCCTATTGTGCCTAGAACTGGCCAAACTAGAGAATACCCGAGTTAGATGGTTCCAGGGATTATTCTGGTCCCAGGGATTTGTAAAGTAAACCAGACTTTACCAGGTAACTTAAATCCAGGAAAACCCAGAATTCTAAGTGGTAGGCAGACATTTAACATGGTCCTTCAAGTTCCCCAGCCTGGGTATATATACACTTTCTCTCATTTATTCCATCTGTCACTGGTCTAGGTACCACTCTGAAGGGATTCTGGAGATGCAGTTAAGGTCCCAAATCTACTATCTTTACGATTGGAGCTGACCTAATCCATGACTCCTTTAAAAGTGGTTTTCTCTGACTGGTCACAAAAGGAAAAATGAAAGATTCAAAGCACAAGAGTGGTTAGACATTCTTTTTTTGGACTGAAGATGCAGCCTGGTGAACCCCTAGGCAGAAAACCGTGGCCTTGTCATGCTGGACTTCTGATCTCCAGAACTGTGAGCTCAGAAATGCTGCTAAGGTTTTTATGCTGCTAAGTTTGTGATCGCTTGTTATGTAGCAATAGGGAGCGAATACACCAGCTGATTCTCCTGCAAGGCTTTCTGAATTTCTTCTATATGAGCACATCACTAGTATTTTAGAAAGAGCCTAGACTATGTAGAAAAGCCATGATGTTATTCCTTTTGCTTGGTAGTTTACATTAACATCTGTGAAGGGGCACAGCTCATGTTCCTTTACCCATAGTAATTGAGACAATTTGCCACATTGCCCCCACGGCTGGGTGATGGGGATCAGGGTGGGAATAGCAATCACACAGTTATGAGCACATCACCTAACACTTCCAGAGTGACGGTATCCTCTTCCAGCCTTGGGCCTTGCTCAGAGGGGGTACTAACTTCACAGCGGTATTTCCCAGCATCATTTCTTGTGACATTTTTGATCCTGATGTTGAAATCCAGCATCTGAGCTCGATCTTTAAAATCACCTGTTAGGAAAAGAAGAAAACAATGCTGGTAACGCAAGTAACTTTCTATGCGCTACCTTCCTCAAATCACTTCATTCAGTCCCCAGAGCATTTATTTTCCCAGTGATAAACACAATTTAAAAATTTAAAAACCGTATGCGGGTGCAGCTATTTCAAAGTTCTTTTTTAGAATGACATAGTATTGACAAAAGAACACTTAGTCCCATATTCCCATATGTTAAAGAATTCAACCCTCCTTTCTGCCTCATACCCTCACCAGGACGCTTACAGAAAAGATTCCTGTCTTCGAAAGACACTGGGTAGCCTCGTTGAATTAGCTGGAACGGTAACTTTCTGTGCTGAGTGGAGGCCCATATGATACTCCACAAAAGAAAAGGTGAGGGCATCTTTAAAACATTCCTTTGGTTAGTTTTTGATAGTAATGTCTATGGAATTAAAATAGCGTTTCATATAATGTTCAAGTGCCAGAACTGGCGACCGTAGAAAATTCCAGTAAAGACAGCTATGCTACTGGCCCCCTGAAGTCTGCAGCCTTATATTGACAGACAAGGACCAGAGGGATATATTAAATTTACTGTAAATTTTAAACATTTCTTCGCTTATATAATTCTTGAAAATTAAAAAACATACAGTATTTTAAAATAACATGTTTAATATACTTGTTGAATTATACTTCCAACCTTAAAAAAAATTGCAATGGCCAATTTCAAGCATACACAGAATCAGACAATATAGTAAGATGAACCTCAGTGCACCCATCACCCAGCTAATAGTAATTAGTGCCTGGCCTATCTTACTGTATCTGCCCTCCCACTGCTTTTACCCATCACAATCAGCACTTTAAACAACAGCTCATCACATTCTCAACAGGAAGAACAGGACGTAGAAACATAAGATAAACAATTGAAAAAAAGAAAACACTGGGTGAAGGTAGTTGTATCTACCCTCCTATAATTTTTTTTTCTTTTTTTTAAAGATTTTATTTATTTATTTTTAGAGAGGGAAGGGAGGGAGAAAGAGAGAGAGAGAGAGAGAAACATCAATGTGCGGTTGCTTGGGGTCATGGTCTGCAACCCAGGTATGTGCCCTGACTGGGAATCGAACCTGCGACACTTTGGTTCACAGCCCGTGCTCAATCCACTGAGCTACACCAGCCAGGGCTTACCCTCCTATAATTCTTAACTCCCTGCGTGTTTCAGAGATGGCCTAGCTTTCTGACGGAGACGTGGAAATACAGTCGAGTTACTAGAACTAAACGGTGACTATCCGTTCCCAACTTGGCACCATCTTGCCTTCCTTTCCCTTGAGAGTTGAACCTACTGGGCCGTAAGAACAAGTTCATTTTCCACCCTCTGGGACTGAGCTGAGAAACGAAGGGTCCAGGGCCTTGGTGGAGTTCACCTGCTTCTGTTTTGTGTTCCCCGTTTTGGGGGTTGTATCCTAGGTCTCAGCCACTCCCTGCTGGTTTCATCTCACACTTACCAAAACTCATTTCCTGTAGTCAGCTGCGTCCTGATCTCATTCAAAACTAAAGGATACCGGCTGCACTTGGTGTTTGTTCTCTTGCTCTCACCAGGAATCCGCAGCTTCTTACCTTTAAGAGCCTGTTCATAGTAGACAAAGGAGACACTCTCCCCCAGTTTCTTCCACTCTAACCTGGAATCCATGGTCTTCTTTAGGTACTGACAGGTTAAAACAGCCTCTAGAGACGACAACAAAAATACTTGCTTAGTGTCCCTCTCAAATTATATTTTACTTAATTAAGCAATACATTTTTAACCTCAAGTTATTCCTTTGTATTTCTTTCTTTTTTTAAAAAAAATTTTCTTTATTTACTTTTTAGAGAGAGGGAGAGAAAGGAAGAAAGAGAGATAGAGAAACATCAATGTGTATGAGAAACATCCCTCAGTTGCCTCTTGCACTCTCCAAACTGGGGACCTGGCCCACAACCCAGGCATGTGCCCTGACTGGGAATTGAACCGGTGACCCTTCGGTTCACAGGCAGGTGCTCAATCTGCTGAGACACACCATCGAGGGCTATCCTTTTGTATTTCTATTCATTCATTCATTTCCTTATTTCCTTCCTTCCTTCTTTCCTACCTTCCTTCCTGTATAATTTCCCTCAACATGTACCATGCTGGCTTAACCCAAAGATAAATTGAAAGCATTACAGCTCTTCCACATAATAATTGTGTGACACTTTGTTACTTTCCCCAGATCTTGAACATCAGTTACTACTTGTAAAATAAGATAGTATCTCAAAATCTTGTGAGTCTTCGAATACAATAATATATATGCACAGTACTTTAAAATGGCAGCAATGATTAATTACTTATTTAACTTTTTCCAGTCTCAGGATTCAAGGATTATACAGCTTAGAAAACGAGGCAAATGAGATGCTGTAATTTCAGTTCAGCGTGATGAGGGCCAGGACAGAAGTAAGCAGAGAGCGCATCACACATCGTGCCTGAGAGAGGCACCGAGTCCAGCCCAGGCCATGCTGGGGAAACCCACACATGTCCCCTCAACAGGCTACATTCTCCCTCGGATCCCTTCCGTGATAGCCCTCTCTGGGAATGCACTGATACACACCCAATACTGTCTTCTAACAAGTTGTTGATTCCTACCTCTTACCTCAATCCAGATAAATTATGTTAAAATTCTTTCCATACCTTTGATTTTGATGTTAAACAGATTTAACAACATTTTAAAAAAGAACTCAGGATATTACATGATACGGTACATTATGTAATATGATACTCTCCTGGGTTTTTCACAAAATAAACACATAGATGTGGACAGAAAGCCTGAATAAATATGCATGAAAATATTAACCCAGTGATGATTTCTGTGAGACAGAATTATGATTTTTATTTTTGTTATATATAGTTTCTAATGTTTTTTAGTTCCACATATGTAGCTAGAAGTATAGAAGTAGAATAAAAGGTAATGAAAAATAGAAAGTAGGATAAAGAAAGGCAAGGGGAAAAAATCCAAAGTTGCTTACAAAGATGCCTAAAGTTTTACAAGCAGGTTTTACATTACAAAGAGACATCATTTTAGAGACGTGTTTACAATCACACTGCAAAGACAAATGTGTGCTGAGGAACTTGTCTGAGGAAATACAGCTCTATTCTGTTATTAAGGAGAATGGGTGGCGACTTTCCGGAGTCTTGAGTTTCAGATAGGTTTCCTTCCCGTAGACAGAGTTTCCAACAATTAAAAACACACCCACACTCATTTTTAGCCCATACTCTTAGGTCTTAGGAATAAATGTATACTCACTTGTTTCACATATTTAAATGGATACGCACACACACACACACACTTGGTGAATTCTTCCTAATTTCTATCCTTACTGCTCTATGGAGGAGTTTGGTAGAAATTATATTTGAAAATGTAACTGATGTTCCTAGAAGCAGCTGACTCCACTCCAGCTTCATTTGCACTAACCACATAGACTGTGGAGAAATCATCTATCCAACTTATCTAAAATACACTGAGGACTTAATGTGTGCCTGGCATTGTCTGGAGCTAGGTCAGTAAGCAACACAGAGATCTCTGCCCTTTTGGATCTTACAGTTTGCAGGGGCTCAGGGACACAAGGAACAACATAAAGTAAATTATATAGCATGTGAGGAGGTGGTAAGTGTTATGGATGTAGGTCAGACTACAGCACGGTTTGGAAGTGCCAGGGACAAGGGTGCAATTAAAAAAAAAAGTAAGGCAGAGTTCACCTAATTTAGAGGGCGACATTTGAGCAAAGACTTAAATGAGGGAATTAAATTCCTTAGAATTCAAACTAGAATTCCCTAGAACTTGAATTTAGAATGCACCACATGGTTCTCTGGGAGTGCTCCAAGCAAGGGACCAACCAGCCTGTGCCCGGACCCTAAGGTGCTAACACCACGCCCCCCGGAACTGGGAGTCTACTCACAGTGAATCTACTAGAATCTACTAGAATCATGGAGTCAACATCTAAGGACAACAAACCAAGTAAACTTAAAAGCTAAAGATCATGGACTCTTCTTTTCTCAGCCAAAATTTGACACTCAAGGCCAGCAGAATTCTGCAACTGAGCCTCAGGGTTATTATGCCACCGTAGTAGTTTAAAGGAGTGAGCCTGCTGCCAGATCCCAAGTGTGTGACATTGTGCAAATCACTTAGGCTTTTTTTTGAACCCTACAGTCAGTCACATCTGTAAAATGAAAAAAAGTAGGAGTACTCATCTCATGAAGTTGTTGGAAGGATTAAATGAGAACACACACACACACACACACACACACACACACACACACTTGGGTGCACGTGGTACATTGCGTATAGTATCTGCTCCATCAATGGTCACTATTACCTTCTTACATGAGGAACTTCTCTTAGTTGTAGCTGTAAGCTTGCCTTGGCGTGACAGAAATCCACACTTTATACCATCACAAATTTACCTAAAAGCCACTCAGATTTAAACTGCAATGTTCCCTCTGAGACAGCAAAGAAAATAATACAGATATTTTCTCAAAATAAGGTATATAGAGAGAAAAATGCACCAAATTTTTCCATTAAGATCATTTTAATTTTCACAAAAATGTTTCATTTGGATTGAGAAAAGGTAATTCTTTGTTTTGATAATGCATTAGCAACAACTATTGCTACACTATGAATTCTAATTTTTCTAGGATTTTGTACTGCTGACTTCCGATTTTACTTTCTGTGCTGAAGTTAAACATCAAAATCATATATAATGCAAGAAGAAAATTGATACTACCCAAGTAGTTGAGAGGAATTACTTGCAATTACCTCTGTGGAGAAAAGCATGCTATTAAACCCTGATTTATAGCTCTTAGGGTCGGGCACTCCCTACATAAGCCTGTTCGTATAATTTATAAGCCTGACTGAGCTGCCTTTGTTTCAGTATTATTCTGTGGAAAGTGGCACCACTGTGGGAAGTGATACAGAACAGCAGTGCTGAAAAGAAGGAATTCGTTCATGATGTATTGACATCAGAGAGGTAGAGACAGAAAACGGAATAAACTGGATGGACCACACGTATCCACAAATCCTAAAATAGTTTAGGCTGCAAGTACCATGAAGTTACTGCAAACAATATGCTAAAACTACACTGTGGAAGGAGATAGAAATTTATTTTTGTTTCATGAAGATCCAAGTTGGAATGATTGGGGCACATATAAACTTGAATCAAAGTGTAATTCTTTTTTTTTTAAAAGATTTTATTTATTTATTTTTAGAGAGGGAAGGGAGGGAGATAGAGAGAGAGAGAGATAGAGAAACATCAGTGTGCGGTTGCTGGGGGTTATGGCCTGCAACCCAGGCATGTACCCTGGCTGGGAATCGAACCTGGGACACTTTGGTTCCCAGCCCGCGCTCAATCCACTGAGCTACACCAGCCAGGGCAAAATGTAATTCTTAATTAAAAGGAGCAGAGGTGAAACAGAAAGGTAAAAAATACTTACTTGAGAGTGAGACTAACATTTGATTAAGATAAATTATAGAATGATTTTTCTATTGTAAACACAAAACACACATTAAAAAGTAATGTAAATGGTACAGGGTTTTAGTTTGGAGTGACGGAAATGTTTTGAGCCTGGATAGAGGGAGCTTGTGAATGTACTCAATGCCACTAAATTGTTTGCTTTAACGTGGTGGATTTTATGTTATGTGAATTTTGCCTCAATAAGTTTTTAAAAAGTAATGTAAGACTACAGAATATAACTTTGGTATTCTATAATAATTCAGATATCATGACACAGGGTCTAGAGGTCAGGGATGGATATATATCCGTGGTATGCAACTGGACTTAATGGGAAGAACCTCCAGGAAAGTAAAATGCAGGAGAATTGAACACTTCCTTTGTCCTGCCGGAACACCCTCGCCCTCTTGCTCTCACTGTGCTCACTCTTTTGGCCTTTCCAGCATCTTTGGCATCTCATCCAGCTCTGTTTATCCTCCCTACCTCTTCCCATAAAAACTAAGCCACAATACGAGTGAGTATTTTATTAGCTTAATCATGTAAAATGTTAGGACTTCCTAAGTACTTAAGTAATGTGTTATTAAGTGATGTTATTTTTGAATGACAGGCTGACTCTCATTACAGCACATTTTTCTGTACTGCACACGTACATAGAACACAATGCGCCAGGCACCACTGTAAGCACTGCTTAAATACTAATTCATTTACATTTAATTCCTCCCCACCCCAGTCCTCTTCTATAAATTTGTCTCTTTCCTTGAAATCTCTCTCTCCAGCTCCAGACACCTAAGACATGCCTGAAGAAAAGGATCACACATTCAGGACTTGTTCCTTAAGCATTTACTATTTCTGCCTAAACAAAGCACTGTGTTCAAGAGAGAGCCGTTCTTCCATGTTCCTAGTGTTATGTGATCCAGGCAAAAGAGCCTTGAGAAAAGTAGCGGGCAGTCAACATTTGAAGTAAACTCACCAAAAGCCTTTATAAATTTTTGGTTATTAGAACCTTTAAAAATATTTTAAATTGTAGTAAAAGACACATACTTTGAATTTAATGTCTTTACAATTTTTTACTGTACAACTTAACAGCGATGTTAAATATAGTCACATTGTTTGGCAACCAATCTCCAGAATTTTCTCATTTTGCAAAACTAGAACTTTATACCCATTTAACAGCAACTCTCCCTAATAAATATTTTGAAGCTACAATAAATAACAAAATGGCACCCCCAAAATAGGCTATGTTAATGCTATCTTAAGTACATTAAGTAGCAGGAGGTCTGCAGTATTCATTTCTATTACTATATCTCGCTGGCCGGAAACTCTGCAAGATCTCCATCTCCCAGTTTCACAGATTAGATTTGCTACGTTGCAGATAATTTATGTAATCAGAGGCCTTCTTTTTACATCAGGTGTTTTATCGTATGTCCAAGATTCCCCTCGAGGAGGTGCAGAAAGGGTCCTCAAGGTGGAAATGGTATTTGAGGCAGAAGAATGAGTGTGGGATGAGGCAGAGGGTCCCGACAAACAGAAAAAACAACGTCGCGTGACATGCCCTCAAGTCACTCAGACAACACAGTCCCTGAAAATCAGTAAGGCACTCTACCTTGATACTCTATTGCTGTGATTACTTGATGATCTTTTGGGGTAGAAAATCCATAGGCTCTATGATCTGGAAAATTAAAACAGATAAAATAATTAAAATAGTGCAAAAGATAATTTTTAACTGTTTGGGATGCGATATTAAAGAAAATGGGCCTCAAGGTTGGTGACAGTTTCATATAATTCTTAACACCTAAGGTCCAAAGTATCAAAAATAAGAAGAACCCAGCCAGACCATTAGAGTTTGTATGTCTCTTCTGTTTCTGTCTTGTCAGTTTCCCCTTGAAACAGCACCCACTCATCTATCAGGCCCCCACCCCTCGCAGACAGCACGCTCTCACAGTCCCACTGTTAACAAGTGCATGTCTTTCAGCTAATATGTACTCTAGGGCCAAAGAGTATTGCCCCCCCCCCCCCAAACTAGTAATTTTTGGACCTCATTCAAGAGTACAAATTGCTTTGGGAACTTATCTCTGACTAAACCTGCATCATGAGGAAATGAGTCATTAGGGAGATGATGGTGGTCTGGTAGACCGTGATGATGATGATGGTTATGTCATCATTCCCATGGTCTTACACAGAATTTTCATTTTGAAAAGTGCTCATATGTGTATATGTTTTATTCTATAAAATTCAACATTCAAAGTAACCTGGTGTGCTAGGTACTACTTTCTTTTAAATTCTTTATAGTTTATTTTTCAATGACAGTTGAGAATACACAATATTCTGTTTCAGGTATACAACATAAGTTACTACACATTCATATGTCTTATGATTAGACATACTAAGACTTGAACAACCAAGTAGCAGAACCAGGAATTAAACCCTTGTAATTCACTCTTTGATATGTATCACTTTGTGTTACGGATGTCACTCTACCGTGCAGGGTAATGACCATGTTTAAAAATTATTTAAATCACTTCCTGTAAGTATACATCTCTGAAATATAAATGCTACTAGGGAAAGATTTTTACCCGTTGTATTCTCCAATATAGACTGAGCACCTAGAACAGTGCTTGGCATAAGCACGACACAATAAATATTTGCTGAATGAATAAATAACACCGCTTTACTTGTATACTAATTAGTATACAGGATGTGTATATTTCCATGGATGAATGGATCCCATTCATCCATTAGTATACCAATGAGAGGAATCCAGTGAATGGGGTCCGATCACGCCAATACTAATGAAGGGTTCCTAAAGGCAAACAATTCTTTGGGAGAGGTGTTATAAGTATACGATATTGAATTGAATTAATTAATTACTTCAAAATCAGAACACAAAGCATTGTTATTACTTATCTTAAGTAAACAATTTAGGTAAAACAATCCAACTGCTGTCCTTTATTATTTATCTCTAAAATCATGTATGAAATAAGCTAAGACCAAATTAGACTGAGTGCAAAAATCTAAAAAAGGCTATTTCTTGCCCTGGCCAGTGTGGTTCAGGTGGTTGGGCGTTGTCCCGGAAGGCAAATGTTGTGGTTCAATTCCTGGTCAGGGCACCTGCCTGGGTTGCAGGTTCAGTCCCTGCAGGGTGTGTACAAGAGGCAACCAATCAATGATTCTCTCTCACATCGATGTTTCTCTTCCTCTCTTTCTCCCTCCCTTCCCCTCTCTAAAAATAAATAAATAAAGTAAAAATAAAGGTTGTTTTTAAAATATATTTCTATAATTTACTCTGTTCATGTTAAATCATCTGTCTTCTGTCTTCATAAGATATACAGATCCTGTTTTCACCAAGGGAACAATGACCTCTCTGCTGCCACATTCAAAGGACAGTTTGCAGTGTTTTATCTGACTTGTTCTCTCTGTAACATCTGCCTCTGTTGACTTCCTTGGATTGTGTGATATGACTCCCTCCTAGTCTTATTACTTGTGGGTTCTTCCTCCTTGGTCTTCTCATCCATCCATCTATCCATCCATCAACTGCTTTTCTAATTCAACTAACTTCTCATATAATCTCTTATACTCACTGAGTCAACCACCATTTCTTTGCTCCAAAGTCCTAAATCTGTATCTCCGGCTCTAATTTCTTGAGATTAAATCCATGAACTCTTTCTACAGGATATTTGTATTTCCATTTCCAACAAGAATTACAAACTCATAGGCAAAAATAAACTCATATGTTTACCCCCAAACTTTGTTTTCTTTCTACAAATCCCACCATGATGAAAGGCACCACGATCCACATGGTCACTCATGCCAGAAACTCAGGTGTCGCCCATGATATAACATCATCCCATCCATTCACTCGCCAGTTTCCATCTATAGACTTGAGGACTGTATGTCATCCAGGACAATGTTTTGGAATATTTGCCCTCCCCCACTGTCCACATTACTGGGAAGGCAGCCCAGTGCTCTTTGCCTTAGGAGAGGATATAGGTAGCTAAATCCAGAGAGAGAGAAACAGGGTACTCCTCCCTTCCACATTTAGAAACTTTGGTCATAAGGGAAATGGAAACAACTCATAGCACATGCAAACATTAAAAAAAATCATACCTTCTCCCAAGCCTTGCAGTAGAGAGAAGGAAGTGAGCTGGAGAACCTGGACCTTAATGGGCTCTTGAGAAAGAACGATAGATAACACTTGACTTTGATGTTAGGCAACATTCACAGTGCTCTACAAACGTTAACATGTAACTCTCACAACAATTCTCGGTAGGAGGGTACCATTTTTATTTATATAGGCAGAAAGTCCCACAGGTCTAATGAAGATGGGATATGTTGGGAAATTGGTGGTGAGAATGAGGGCGAAGGACTGCCTCTGAGGCACAACAGGAAGGAGGCTGTGATGCTGTGACTGGGGAAGCAGGACAATACAGCAGTCTCAGAGGGGAGGCGCCAGACCAGGGCTTCTCAATCTTGGCACTGTTGACAGCTGGGGCCGGATCATTCTGTGTTGTGGGTCCTGTGCATTGATGTTTCGCACGATTCCTGGCTTCTTCCCACTAGATGCCGGTAACACCCACGCCCCCCACACCAACCCAACTCCTGACAACCAAAAATGTTTCTAGACATTGCCAAATGTCCCCTAAAGATACAGAGACATACCTGACTGAAAACCATGGCTCTAGGCTTGCAACTAGTCTGGTTTTGTGGTAGGCAGTTAGGCAGACATGAGCAGAATAAGAACAATAGGCCAGGTACCAAAGGTCACCAGGGCGGAAGACTGGCAAAGACTAGCAGCAGGCAAAAGTGGGAAAACAAGGACCTCATCCCCAGGGTGACCTTTCCTCCCCTAGCATATTTTTGGTCATGCAGTTGTAACCCTGCCCTGACATTTCCTCCCGTGGGGTGTTGCTGGCCATATGGTAGACTCCTTGGAGGCCAGAAGAGCGCCTCATTTCACTTGCATGCCCTTGCACGACCTCTCCCTTAAGCATTAACCCCTACAAATTACGTCTAGGCCTCAGCTGCATTGCAGCTCCAGGCGCAGAAAAGCAGCAAGACCAGACAAATGATGCCATCCATGGTTGACATCAGGACCAGCAGCACTGACTACTGACCCCCTGCCCTGGTATTGACCAGTCAGTGGAGACCTTGACCTTGAGGAGACACCTGAAAAGCTGATGAATCTTCTATTGGAATCCTCCCCTGCAACCTCCAGATAAATACTCTCAAGACCAAGAACCCAGTGGGCCTTCCCTCCTGGGAGCCCACACCTTTCCCCTCCCCTTCTCGTTCCCATCAGGGCGCTACCTTTACCTTTCTCTCTCCTAAGCTCCAAGGGCCCTTCTTTTGCCTCTAGAACTTGTTTCCTGAATGCATTTCTTTTACTGTTCACCTCTACCTCTGCAACTTTCTAAATAAACTTTCTCTTATAGTTTGAGTCTTGGCTCTGAATTCAAGCACTGAGGTTGCGGAACCAAGGTCTGGTCTGACTCTACTGGTCTGATACTAGGTGTTGTTTTGGCCGCCACGAACAGTTTGCAGAACCAGACACAGAAATAGACAAGCAGATAAAAGGAGGGCAAAGAACCATGAATTCAAGGATTTTGAAAGTTCCTATGAGAAATCCTATCAGAACTTTTTTTTAAAAAAGATTTTATTTACTTTTAGAGAGAGGGGAGGGAAGAGAGAAAGAGAGGGAGAGAAACACCAGTGTATGAGAGGCCTGGCAGTCAGTTGCCTCTCACACTCCCCCAACACGGGACCAGGCCTGCAACCCAAGGCACATGCCCTAGCTGGGAATCCAACTGGTGACGTTTCTGTTTGCAGGCCTGTGCTCAATCCACTGAGCCTCATCAGCCAGGGCTCCTATCATAACTTTTTAACCATGAAATAATCTATTACACTTTTGGGAAGGAGAGAAATATGTTTCAAACAACATAGCATCCTTTTGTGGATTTATTTATCTATATGGCCATTAACATGTAAATTAGTCTTTCACTGTGCTGGACTTTATCACTTCTAAAGCATACATACTATTCTGAATATTTTCTTCTATTTTCTCTCCCTTAGCAGCCTGGGAACCAAATCTAACTACAAAAAAAAAAAAACCCCTCAAAAATCTATAGGCCTCAAAATTCCCCTGTCAAACATCAGTCAACTATTCAGGTTCTTTATTTTTAATTTGTAAACATCTTCATTAGGGAAATTGGCAAACCTGGTGTCTACACAAAGAGCATACGACTGAACTGATGCTTTTTACTGGCAGCTGTACATACATTTGTACAACAAGTGAGCCACGTGGCTCAATCTTAGAGGGGTGTCGGGGCCACCAAAGAATAATTTCAAAATAACTGTTTTGCATATGATTTTCAAAACCGTGAAGGGGAGGTCTAAGCAATCTTTTTAAATATCTTTTTCTTGCTTTCCATACACTTCTGTCACATACTGGAACATGCCCTGTGTTCCTCTGAACTCCACGCCCACCCCCCCACCCCCTTTGTGCCTTTCTATTCAAGCTGCTTCCCTCCTTCCCCACTTTTGTTTTGCAGTGGCCAGAGGGAGGGTCCAGAGCTTCAGAGAGCAGAGCTAGGGAAGAGATGAAGCTGGCCAAATCCGATTCCTCTTAAGTGAGCTGGAGAAAAGACAGGGCCTGGTGTGTCCTTGTTGCATTAG